TTTTTACTTCAATATATTAGCAATTGCAGACATTATGTTATTTTATTAGGCTTCCTAACCTCTGTGTTTCATTAGTTGTACATTATCTAGTGAATTTAGTTAATATTGTACAGTAGAAGTTCACTGCAATACAGTGGTTCCTCGATTGCTTGATGGACCTAAGTGCAAACCTGTATTGTACATGTACTAAATGATTACGGTACTTAAATTGTTATGTCTATTGCAAATATATCTTGTTTATACAGGTATTCAAATAAATTACTAGAATCCAAGCTATATATAGTTATACTCACCCATGTCGTTTGGGTGGCAAATTATGGAAAGAGCTTAGTCACTCTTAAGTAATGATAAATAAACACCCAGGCCTTCAAGCGCCTTGTCAAATCTTATCTGAAATAAATATAGACACTCCTGTCACCTCACCTCACGCTCGGCTGGCTACCTCCTCCCTGTGTTTCCCAGACAAAGATTGGTGATTTCTTTATGTTTATTTTTTATATAATATCTCCAGACTAAAGTTAAAAGATAATATAATTTGCATTGCTGAAATCCTTACAGGAATGAAGTTGAATTTAAATATAAGCATCATATATTTTTGCTCAAGATATAAAAATGTAGTACATTAGTGTACAATACTGTAGTACATTTTATAAAAAGGACCACAACTATGAATTTTTAGGTAGATTTACATAATTTCTTCATTGTTTTCATCAATTTATACACACCGCAAAAAGCGTGCAAAAATATCGTGGCCTAAATTCTGGGCTGAGTGCACATGTACTAATTTGATTCACGGTACTAAAATTGTTATGTCAGAGTCTTGAATTAATGTTTATATTCAAATAATCAGTATCTTACAAGAATCCCAGCAATGTTAATTATATTCTCCTAGGTCATATCACTGGCATTTTAAAATGAGAAGCTTAGTAGGACTGTTAAATAAACACAGACAGCGGCTCCAAACTTTCAAACATATCACCTCCCTTCCCCACCCCTGCTGGCTGGCTGTCTAGCTGGCTCCGTCCACCACCCCCCAGACCTTGAGGTTTTAGGTTCACGGTTTTATCTTATATAATATCTCAGACTAAAAGTCAAGGGTATAATTTTGAATTGCGGGAATCCTTGCAAAAGGCAGCCAATAATTTGAATATAGCGTCATATATTTTGCTCAAGATATAAAAATTGATGGCACATTGAGTCTGTACAATACTGTGATACATTTTATAAAGGTTATAGCTGTATTTTTTGGGTAGATTTACATAGATTTCTTAGTTTATTTTCATCCATTTACATGCACACACCATACTTCATCGTAATAATAAAAGCCAATGACGCTTATTGTAAAACTGGAGTGCACATGTACTTACAGTAAAAGGTCAAAAATCTAGGATGCCAGAAATCCTGACCACCGAAATCCAGGACTTTTCAAAAACGATTTTTTTTTTAGCGGGCATTTGTGCGTAATGGCATGCGTGGCGCCACAACTGCACAGCGACAACAAGCGCATGACCCGCGTGGTGCGCCACTTTAAATGGGCAATCAAACTGTGACAACATACACGTATATACTCGTCTATAACCCCCCTCGTTATCAGTCGACCCTGATTTTTTGACAGAAATCGATTTAATTTATGATATTCTCGTTTATAGTTCCACCCACGTTTTTTGAGGGTAATGGAACAACAAACCATAAAAGCAGCTCGTCCTATAAGCAGGGCTAGCCATGCACTGAAACACAGTACTGAAAAGGCAAATTGTTTTACCTATTACGACACTTTACACTGAAACCGGGTGGTTTCAACAAAAAATATTGTATATTTCCATTCAAGTATTTATTCAAGTCAATTAGGAGGGAATATTATTGAAATACATTATGTATAATTTCAGGAAAAATATTACATTTCCGTGAATGTATTATATCAAGCACAGTATGAATAGAATATCATTGTAATATATCAGAATTTTAACCGAAAACTATTAAAAAAACGAGTAACATCTCAAGAACATCGGAAGCTTAGGTAAAGTCTTTTGTTTTCGTCATGTATTTTATCCTATTTTACATTGAAATACGTCACGTTTCCACAAAACTACTATTTATCTCCGAGAATATATTCATTCAGGCGCAGTTTAGGTAAAATAGACGAGTGATGTAATAGTTTTTTAACTGAAAACGATTCGAAAAACACGTACCCTCTAGCCCTGTTCAAAGAGAGGACTGGGAGAAGCTGTTTGGTGCTGCAGACGATGACAAGGAAAATGATTTTGATGGATTTTAATGAAAATATTCAGAAATATGGTATCGTAGTATTTATTCAAGTCAATTAGGATAGAATATTATTGTAATACAACAGTTTTTGAACTGAAAACCATTCGAAAAGCGATTACGGTAACATCTTTTGAACGAAAGAAAGCGAAAGTCATTGTTTTCATCACGATTTTATCCCACTTTCCACTGTAATACGTACGTTCAGCAAAAATATTACATTTCCGTGAATGCATTATATCAAGCACAGTATGAATAGAATACCATTGTAATATAACAATATTTTGAGTCCTACTCTTTCCATTTACAGAGTACTGTACAAGCCCATAATAATGGCTCCTAAAGTAGATAAACTTCGTTGTGTGAAGAGAAAGAACACATTGAAATTGAGTGACAAACTTGAAATAATTAAGAAACTAGATCGTGGTGTGAGCAATACTGTTCTAATGGAAACATACGACATTGGAAAGTCTACAATTTATGATATATAAAAGGCAAAGAATAAAATTTAGAATTCACAGCTTTTTCATTAAAACTGCTCGTTTTGATAAATGAAGCATGCTATATTTGCAAATGAATAAACTATCAAAATGTACCTGTTCATTTCTTCTTTATTCTTCATTAAATTTGAATTTTAAAAGTACTGCCTGAGAATCCGGAAAATCCGAAAATCCGGACCGACCCAATCCCCAAGCAGTCCGGATTTTTGGACTTCTACTGTAGTACATAATTTCTTAAGCAAGTCCTGAAATTTTACTTTGATAATACAGTCACTAAATTAACCTCAATTACAAAGGTGTATCTTTTGAAGCTGTGATGAATATTCAAGGAAAATATGAGGAGCTCTGGACCTCAACCTGCCAAGAGCCATATATTGCTGAAATGTGTTATGTATTGCACTGCATTCCCCAAACTCTCTTCTGTCCCTTGGGTAAGTCAGAGAGCCAATTGGGAACCTGTACATGTGGGTGAGAGTCCTCTGAAAAGACTATTATTGTATGTCACACACTTCCACCTGAGCATTTTCCGCCATTTTCAATTTTGGTATTTAGCAAATTATGGTCCGGAGCTCCATATATTGAGAGTTTTTAAAAAATGAATATGTGTACACACTGCCTAAGAGATTTTTATGGCAATCACATGAAGGCTTGCATTTAAAAAGTATGCAAGCATTGTTGATATACTGTACAAGGTCTTCCAAAACATTTTGGGAGACCTCACATTTCAACAAGTGAGACAATGTACTGTTGTAATGCAGGCACTGACACGATCACTAAAAAATTTTTTTAAGGCAGTATATATACTGTATATATATATTATTATATTTTTTTATAGAAAATCTGTACTGTATAAGATTAATGCATATATTGGAAAATGACGAGATAAAGCACACATTTATATAACAATAAATGTGTTTAGCATTTTGGAGATGAGTCCATGGGTCTTCAGCTACTATAGATACAATATTTTCAGAGTGTGACACCTTTATCAGAAACTTATTTACAAAAATATATTTAAGTTTAAAATCTGCTTTCTCATACCTCAGAGACAATGACCAGAGAGAGACCATCAGATAGTGTTTCATAATGCACAAGGTGGGGAGTCAGCTGACACATCTCAGTGCGAAGTAATAAAACACAACTTCGAATCTTTCCTTCTGGCTCTTCTGAAGAAAAATATTTAGGATAAATCATAAGAGGTCAAAATTGTCTAAGTATAAATTTCACCTACTCCTTTTACCTTGGCCTAAATTCAAGCTTGATTTTATCACTACTTGTCTCAAACAATCATGGACTAAATGAATGAGCACACTGGCCATGACAAGTAGATCCTTAACATCTGGATACAGTTGAAAAGAGGCCAATATGTGTGAGGGAATAGAGTGCCTTATAAAAGGTTCCCATAACATTACTTTCAAATGTCTAACTTATTGAAAACCCTAGTGCATTTTATCATCCAAGTTAGCAATAAAGAGGGATAAACAGAAACTTGTTCCCCCCTTCCCTGTAAACAGTAGCTATCTTAAACTCACTTCCCTGGCCTCTTGTAGAAGAGTGCTTATTGTATAATTTACTCACTCCTGTTGTAAAACACTGGTTATCTTAAATCATGCCTTCCCTTATTAAAAAGCAGCTAAGTATCATAAAACTTGAGTAGATATCTAAACACCTATTGCCTCTTATAAAAAAAGGCTATCCTACAACTTGCTCCCATTTAAAAAAAATGATCAATGATTCTGGAAAAAAAAAATATCCCGAGTGAAAGTGACAGCCTCCTTCCTTACCATGATTACTAACACCATAAAATACATACTCTCCATCTACTTAAGCCTTGTTATTCATAAGGTAACAACTTATCAAATACTATAAAACAATGGTTAGACAACTTAGTGTGTTCTAGCAGTTGACTTCAAAATGAAGTACCCTGTAGTCCAAAAGATTTTTCAAGGACAATAAGCTAATGAAAGTTTTTTTTTACATATTGTTAAACCAAATTTATTTTTACTTTTTTTTTATTTATGAAAAAATCAAGGATAAGAGTAAATGTATATGGTGTGTTTCTGCTTTTTGTAGTAATTCTTTCTCGTTTACTTTTATACACATCATCCACCACTGTCACCTGCAATACCCTCCTCTTATGTTGAAAATTCTCTATCTCTTAACCCACCATACACAAATATCAGAGGAATATTAGTATTAAACATAAAGACAGAAAGGACAGTCAACTGAAAGTTTTCATCACCACATGTTGAAGAGTATTTACAGTGGTGATGACTCAACTACCTGAGTATCATCTGCAGTTCCATAAAGCTTGCCAAATAATATCTCTGTGTAACTGGATGCAGTATTTAAAAGAATTGTATAGAAGTTTAGCAAAAGTTTTTAATTGCATCATGGAACTAACCTTCACCATGACTGTTATGTCTGCCAAGAGAGGGTGTGTTGGGGATGCTGTAAAATTCCCCAGAGTCACTTGTGTCCAACTCAATACCATCATCTTCCTTCTTCTCATCGGGAATCTCAGCAATATTCTTAGGGCTGATATCTTCCATATAATCACTACTTTTCACTTGGCTCGCCTCCACAAGCAGGTTCAGAAAGAGCACATCAGATGCGCTAAGTTCTTGAGCACTTCGACTGCGGGAAATAAAATTGAATGCAGGCAACCTCAAATAATGCCATTCTGCCTTCACAATAAAAGCAATTTGACAAAAAAGTTAATCCACATTTCCCCCACAAAATCATGTAACATACTTCTATGTCCTACAGACCATTTTTCTACATAGCAACTCAACTCACACAAATCCTTACTCTGCAATACATAGAGTACTTCCTATATCACTCAATAAATGTACAATGCATATACTCCCTCACTCTCTCCTTCTAACATACCTTCATCCTTCCTATTCATACAGCTACTTCTAACATCCTTATTCAAATATTTTCTTTACAGTTATTTTAATTCTCACAATCAATTTATGTTAGTACAGTAAGTCCTCGCTTAGCGTCGGGGCTAAGTTCCTGAAAATGCGACGTTATACGAAACAACATTAAGCGAATAAATTTTCCCCATAAGAAATAGATAAAATATGGGAGTTACGTTCCCCAGCCTCCCTTTGCTCCATAAAATATATTACATACTGTATACCGAAAATAGTGCATGCATATACAACTACAAGTACTGTACAGTACTAAGTTTGCATAGGTACTCTCCGATGGGTGGAGGTGTCTGGTGGGTAGTGAAGCAGAGGAGGCGGATGGCGGGAACGGAGGAGGCGGGTGGGAGCGGAGAGGTGGATGGCGGGAGGGGAGGCGGATGGCGGGAGGGGAGGAAGAGGGTGGGAGCGGAGGAGGGTGGCTAGTCACTGAGACTCTGCGGCTACCTCCTCCTTCTGCTGTTCTGACTGGGGTTCCTCCATCGCTGCTTGCTCCTCCTCCCTTGATGTTTGCTCCCCTTCCATTGTTGTTTGCTCCTCCTCGGCTGCTGGCTGTTGTGTATATGCTGCTGCTGGTGCCGTCCCGCGACGAAAAAATGAATCCAGTGTTGACTGCTTGGTGCTACTCTTCTTCTCCTTATAGATCTCAGTGTAACAACCAAGACTGTCATCAATGCTGCGTTGAATCTTTGAGCTACGTACTCTGTTTGCATATCTTGCTGGATCATGTTGAACGCTTCTGCCATCCTCTCCGTAATTAGCGTTCGTTGAGGTTCTTCGTCGTCTTCATTTTCAACGGGACTGTGTTCTGCTAACCGTTGCAGATCTTCATTGGTGAGTTCTTCTGTATGGGATGCCAGGACTTGCTCAATATCTTCTGATTCCAGCTCATCAAAGCCTGCCTGTCTAGCCAAGCTGAGGATATCCCTATTCACTGCTGGGACTAAGTCCGTGAATCCCATAAAACTGTTGACACACTTGGGCCATAATTTACTCCACACACCATTCAGGCAACTTTCTAAAACTTCTTCCCATGTCTTGCCAATGTTGTCAATTGCCAATGTTCTCGGATCGTAGGTTTATTTTCTCCGTCAGTAGCCTTTAGAAGCTGGGCTATGGTACGCCGTAAATAATACACCTTGAATGCAGCGATAATGCCTTGGTCCATAGGCTGCATCAGTGCTGTCATGTTGGGAGGCAGGAATACAACTTTTACATTGTCATGCAAGTCGTCGAGATTGGGAGGATGAGCTGGAGCATTGTCAAGTATCAGAAGAATTTTGAAGTCAAGGTTCTCCTTGGCACAGTATTTCTTCATTGCAAGGACGGCGTACACATTTAACCACTGGCTAAATATGGCGCCTGGTTATCCATGCCTTCTTGTTTGCCTTGTAGATCACAGGAAGATGATCCTTAGAGTAACCTTTCAAGGCCCGTGGGTTGGCAGCGCGAGAAATCAGGATAGGTTTCAGCTTGAAGTTATCGGCAGCGTTCGTGCCAAGCAGCAGCGTCAAGCGGTCTTTTGCCACTTTAAAACCTAGTGCTCTTTTCTCCTCCTTGGAGATATAGGTCTTCTAAGGCATCCTCTTCCAAAAGTGACCAGTCTCATCCACATTGAAGACTTGCTTCGATGAGTAGCCTCCTTCCTGGATAATCTGTTTGAATTCTGGCGGGAATGTCTTGGCAGCAACCGTATCTGAACTGGCAGCCTCACCAGTCATCTTTATGTTGTGGAAGTTATAACGAAGCTTAAATTGTTGAAACTAGCCTCAGCTGGCCGTAAAGGTCTCTTTCTTTGATCTTTCACCTTCTTCTGCCTTTAAGTCGTCAAACAGGGACTTGGCTTTATGCTGGATAACCATAAGGCTCACAGGCGCATTGCATTGATTCTGGTCCTCCATCCACATAGTCAGCATCTTTTCCACCTTTTCTATCACAGTGCTTCTAGTACAAGTTGTCTTAGTAACACTCAGAGAAGAACCACTTCCAGCACTAACCTTAATCTTGTCAGTGTTAGTTCGGATAGTACGCACCGTTGTGGGGGTTAGACCAAGCACAGCGGCTATGTCCATAGCACGTTCCCCCTTTTCAAAACGGGTTAATACTGTACAATCATTTTCGTAGCCAGGGTAATGGTCTTATGTTGCCTCTTCACTACACTAGCATCACTAGCACTTGATGGACAGTTGGAAGCCATTTTGAATGGTTAGAGTACAGTTTTAGAGCAAAAGCACTTAAGCACACACGAATAATGTGAAGTCGTAACAAAGACTGGCTCGGGGACGCTGTGACGTCCGCGAGTGAGGATAGTGCACTGAGCCGAGAGAGCTTAGCACAGCCACACGAGAGAGGGTGATGCGCCGTAGAAAGTAGTCCGAGACGACGCAAAATGACATAGTACAAGTATCCGGGACATTAAACGAATTATTGGTCTTTAAAGTTTAGCAACGTAGTACCAAAACGACGTTAAGGGAGGACTTATTATACTGTATTTCCTTTTTTCTCATTTTGTCAGCCATGAAAATATTGTACAGTATCTCATTTGTTTTCTTTATTTCTCACTCTAAGTTTTTTTCAATTCTACATCTCACTCAATCCATTCACATTTTTCACTAACCAACTTTATTTTCTCACTTTATTAAATTTTGTTTCTCACTCTATCTATCCTTATTTCTCACTCTAACCTATTTTAATCCTAACTCTATAAACACTAAAGTCCATTTGCAATACTAAGAAACTTCATCTCATCTATGGATTCTCTGCAACACTGTCTCACTCACCAAACCCAGGGCTCACTATGACTTGCTCTATTCCTCTCTATAAACTTTACTTAATGGTTACTACAATTTCCTTAAAATATATCTGAATTTTTCTACATTCTTATTACTGTTCTATTTTTTTTCAAAATAATATATGCCATTCATTCATTAAAGATATTCATATTCAATGATCAAATAAAATAATGAAAACAATTCATTACTCTAAAATTTATAAATTCAATACTATTTCATAAAAAATCTTACCTCGAGTACAATGCCAATAACTTATTTCTGACAAAAAAGAGAGCATGGCATGGAGTGAGGTCCTTAGCAGACTTCAGTTTGTCAACCACAGCTGCAAGAGCCTTGACTGCTGCAGCAGAGAGTTCAGCATTAACAACCAGCCGTTCAACTGCTTCAACCAAATAACTTTGCTCTTTTGCATATAAAGTTTGCCACGCTTCTAGTAAATTGTCAAGCAAGCTACTCTTCTCATCACTCTTCTTCAGACTGTAAAAGGGAAAGGAAGTATAAGTTGTTTACCAAGATATGCGCAGAGGATATTCCAATGTTGTTATCTTGTACAGTTAGTATTGTATTAAGTTTGGTAATTCTCACACTCAGTTCAAGGTGACATCTGCCAAATCTTTCCTACACAATAGTCATTAAACCTAACCATGTAAGTGTCATAGTTACAATAACAATAAAAGATGGCATCCCTTCCCCCTTCAGTTCTCCATAATTAGAAGAGAAATCAATAGCTAAAGTGTGCTTGTTCTGACAAGAATGACTTACTAGTAAACTTGCATTATTCTTTCCCAATAGCTGATCCTTGACAGAAACCAACAGGGACGGCTCATAAATCATGTACAGTATTAATATCTTATACTGTATACCAGGCATGGGCAACCTTTCCTCAGTCATGGGTCGCATTATGATTTAGGTATCCTACCTAACCCAAAAGTAATGTTAATACAGTGATCCCTCGGTTAACGAACGCCTCGGTTAATAAAATTTTGGTTAACGAATTACCTTCCATAAGAATCTTCAATTTGGTTAACGAACAAAAATTCTGTTAACGAAATTTTTACGAAATCATGTCAACATGTTTTCGCTTGCTCACTAGCTGGAATATTAGTCCGCCAATACAGTAATCGGTTCTAGGGCTTAAATTCGTTCCCATTTGAGTAAATATCAAGAAGGTTGTACTATTCAATAATTTTCCAAGTTTTATATTAAATTTTTTAGTAATTTTAACACTTATTTAACATAATTGCAGTACAGGAAACTATCTTTTGGTGCGCCAATCAGCCACTTGACTCACCCAGCAAGGCGTCAGTTTGCATCTCTGGTCAGTGGAGGTAACATCTTGCTTGTGGCTCTCTTGAACATAAACTATTTTTATGTTTTTACATTACAATTATTGGTCATTCTGAAATTTATTTTACATATTGACAATATATAGTGCAGTGCAGTGTTGATTTAAAGAAAATAATCTTGAATTACACCTAGTGAACTTAAAATGACGGCATGAAGCATGGGGTAATTTCTCTTCCACCCCCACTTCCTTCTCTTCTCCCTTTTCCTCCACCCCCACTTCTAATTTCCATCATCATCAACCAGGAGCCTTCTACATACACACCTCAAAGTAAGTGTACCTTACTGCATTTATTTTTACTTTGTATGTAATTTTCGGTGAGCTGGAACTAATTACCCAAAATCCTATTGAAACAATGGTTTCGGTTAATGAAATTTTCGGTTAACAAACAACCTTCTGGAACGAATTGTGTTCGTTAACTGAGGGACCACTGTGTTGTAATTGCGCAGACAATGATACAGTTTATCGTCACGTCCACCTTATAATATTTTTAGTTTACAATCAGTCTTTTTCCCATTTTTGAAACAAATCCATCATAATAATTTTTAAAGTACTGTAATGTGTTAATGTTTCTTGGCATTTAACAAAAGATGAATGAAGCAGTCTGTAAATATGTTGATTTTTCCTACAGTTAGAGCCCATGGAGACCTAATCAGACAAGAATAAATAGATAAAAATAGATAGAACAGACAGCCAGGCATGAATTATGAGGTACTATGGAGAGAGACAGTCTGTCACCAAGGAAGAGACCTTTACCTTTGACCCGTGTGACCACCACCCATGACCCCACCTGGGCTTACCTAACCTTAGCTAATTACCAAGTGACCCACTGCCACAGAGCAGTTAATCCATCAAACAGACCATGTCAAACTTGCCCCGTAAATTCACAGAAGTTAAAATGCTTATATTGTTGACTATTTATACTTATTTCACTGTTAGGTGATGAAACAGTGACGAATTATGTGTGAAGATTATTCTTTTAATAAAAAATGCTTTACTCACTACAAGCTGGATGCATCTACCTGAACTGCAGGCCATATTAAATAGAATTTCTCAATCACGCTCCAGGCCGCACAAAGACACGGTTCAGGCCATGGATTGCCTGTGCCTGCTGTATACTATATAGAGTAAAAGTTGGCTGCCATGCACCAAACAGAAAGTTAATGAATGTGAAGAAACCATTTGTCTGAACATGGACCGAAAGGCAGACTATATGATGGTTATATCCTCCAAATCTTCTGTGCTCTCCTGGATCTGTTAATAGCACATCGCATCTCAACAAAAGACAAAACAGTTTATACTAAAGTTAATATATTTAACTTGAATATAATGTACACATATTATTTTAATATAGAATTTATATGAGAAAAGTCCACTTAACCCTATTTATTCTATAAGAGCAAGATATACACCTTATACAGTACAGTATTTTCTCGATTTAACAAACTAATTCAAGCCACCCCTGTTCATTAAATCAAAATTTCTGCTAAATTGAGCTAAATTGTCTGAAACTAATTACTTAAAAAGAGTAAAATATTGTGGCTATAATTTAAAAGAATTCTACATAATACAGTAAGAAATCTTGAACCACTCACGTTGTAACACAAGGACCAACAATCAGCTGCACAATGCGTATAGTTATGCTAATAATTCGCTGTAGATGAGATTCTTCCTGATGACCAACACCAACAAACAAATACCCAGCATACTGAAACACAACATAATGAAGTTAATTGCAAGTTATCATGTCATCTTCAACAGTAATTATGACAACATTCAACTGATTCAGAACTCCAAATTCTGTTCCATACAATATTATAAGTACTGTACAGGGGGTCCCAGGGTTACCAACAGGTTCTGTTCCTGAGGACGTTCGTCTGTCGGATTTGTATGTAAGTCGGAACACATGTTGTGTGCAGACCGTATTTACAAAACAATGTTTAAAATCCCACTACGGCATATCATATAAAATCACTGAATTTAAGACAAAAGAAATAAAATGACAAAATACAGGAAATGAAACTTCCTGTATTATAAGTACAGTACATGTACTGTAAATTTTACCAATATATATATATATATATATATATATATATATATATATATATATATATATATATATATATATATATATATATATATATATATATATATATATATATATATATATATATATATATATATATATATATATATATATATATATATATATATATATATATATATATATATATATATATATATATATATATATAAAATGTTGGCAATCCCTTATCCAAAATCCTTGGGGCCAGAGGCACTTTGGAATTTTTCTGGTCAGAGTAACGTTTTACCCCATTAGAGGTTCACGGCGCCATAAGCTCGTTGAACAGGCTTTGTGTGAAATATAACAAAGTCTAGGACTGCTTTTAGTATCCTGGTGGTCCAGTGGTTAGCGTTCCCCGGTCACAGTCATAGGCTTGTGGGCCGTAGGTTCGAATCCTGGCGGGTTGAGGTGTTGATTATATATATATATATATATATATATATATATATATATATATATATATATATATATATATATATATATATATATATATATATATATATATATATATATATATATATATATATATATACATATACAGGACATCCAATATAACATACAGTACTGAAACAAAAACTTAATTAATTTAACCAAGAGAACACAAACCTCTTTAAATACAACAGTGGTTCCGTCTTGGCAGGACACGGAGGTGTAGGGGTTGTTGAACTGTGTCGTCATGATGCGCTGAGAGGTGACCAGAGGTGAGAACAATTGCACTACTATGTTGGGATCCAGCTGTGCAACCTGTAATTGTAGGTCTTTATTAACACAATGTTACAAGTTATGTAAAAATAAAATAAAACAGTATGTACAGTAATTTTGTAAATTTTATATACAGTACAGTACCAACAGATTTGAGGAGAAGGAGCAACTTTGGCAAAGATTGGGAAATTGTATACCATGGAAACTCGTAACAAAAATAAATTTTTCTAGTGTAATTCGTTGTTTTAATCTAAATCTGACTTTCATTTTCATTGTAAATGAACCATTATGGAGATATGGACCACCCTCACCAACTACCAACAATTTTGTTGCACAAAATGCACAGGGTTTTTAAGTAGAGGGAAATTGTGGGGTAAAAACATGAAAAAATATACCAAACCAACCAAAATCTAACCTAACCTAACCCAATCTAACCATATCTTAACTTAATTACCAGGTGTTGGAGGATAAATGATACTACTTGTAGATATTATAACCAAGCAAGTGCCCTTAAATACAGAAACATAGATGCCACAGTGAGGAGATTTCTTTGTCTTGCTGAGTTTCCATCTTTTAGTACAAAACTAAAGGTTCTTACTTTGACGATAGTGACAGTATGAACCTCACTTTGCGCACTCCACAGAAGTTGGTAGAATACCATGAACCTTAAAAATGTCAATAGCAGCAGCTTCATTTTCAAAGACACAATGAATAGTTTGCCAAGCTGATGAAGAGCACCCATAACACAGAGAATTCATCTAGCAATTAGCAAAGCAAAATTTAAAACTAAGGATGCACAGGAGTGTCACATGGCACAGAGACCAACACTGATTGACGGAATATAGTTACGCCAGTAAGATGTAAATCAATTTCCAATCTTTATACTAAAAGGTAAGCTTTATCAATCCCAAATCTCAATTTGCTTTCTTCACTGCTGAGGCAGCAGTTGCGCTGTCTTCAGTGAATGATCTATCACAACACCAAGATCTTTCTCCTTCTCGACAGTATCCAGGAAAGCATTAACAGAATAGTAGTGCTCAAGGTTGTTGTATCCTATGTATGGGGTCTTGCATTTCATTATGTTAAAAAGCATTTGCCAGTCTCGAGACCATTTGAACAGCTCATTCAGGTCTTTCTGCATTGTTGTAACATCATCTTGATTTGCTACCTTTCCAAATATCTTTATGACATCGGCAAGCTTGTTTTTTTTATGGGGAATAACCTACCTGGGCACAGGTCATCGACCCACAACGGGGCCTGGGGAGCGAAAAGATAAGAGTAAAAGAAATTATAAATAGAAAAGAAAAAGATTAATTAATCACTACGAAGAAGCTGGAAAACCAGCTTTTTGAAGTGAGACAGATTGTATGAGTATGGAAACACAGTAGAAGGCAGAGCCTTCCACAGTTTGGCAGTGTGAGGAAAGAAGGATGTACTATAACGGGTTATTCCAGTATGACCGACATCCACACAGAAACGGTGGGCACCGCCAAAAAAACGAGTGTTACCGAGCCCACAGCCTTGCCGGCGGTACACAGGATGCCAAATCCACTGAACATTGCCCATTAAAGTACCCGTAAAAGAGAGAGTGTGAAGCAACATTGTGGCGAAGAGAAAGGGAAGAAAGATTATCAACTAAAGGAGGAGAGTTAATAAGACGAAATGCCTTTTATTCCACCCTATCTAACAGTTGGACAGAAGAAGAGCCATCCCAGATATGAGAGCAGTACTCCAAGTTAGGACGAATAAATCCCTTATAATCTTGAAGCAACTGCTCAGGAGTGAAGTAGCTATGGCATCTGTGCAGCATTCCCAGCTTTTGGGAGGCAACTTTAGCAATGTTGTGGATGTGTGGCTTCCATGACATATTAGAGGAAATGGTGAGGCCTAGCATATCTGTTTTAGAATTTGGCAGAATGATTGCATCCTGAAATGTGATTGGTGAGAGATTATCTAATTTGACTCAAAATATTTTCATCTTTGTCATTCATGTGTATATTACAAACATGGTGGGTCCAAGGATAAAGCCTTGTGGTACTCACTGAGAACCTTTTTGCATTCAGATTGTACTTCATTTATTACCACTCTTTGTTGCCTGTCTTCAAGCCAGTTCTCAATCCACATCAAAATTTTGCTTGTGATGCCATGTGCCTGGACCTTAGAGGGTAGTCGTGCATGTGATATTTTGTCAAATGCCTTCGAGAAATCTATGTACAGTACAGGTACAACACATCCACTGGTGAGCCATGGTCCATATTTTCTGTTACCTATTAAACTTGAAAGGAACGTGAGTAAGTTTGTCAGACAGGATTTATTTCCATGAAAATGTGTTGTAATGCATTGATAAGACTGGTCAAGTGTTGGATGATAACTTCCATCAGAATTTTCTCAAATGGTTTGCATATACAGTACAGTACTGTAAGTGAAATTAGGCTGATTGGCCTGTAGTTTTCTGCTGCGCTTTTCCTATCCTTCTTGTATATGTTGGATAATTTCCAGTCCCTAGGCACTTTACCTTGATCCAAGGATTTCCTGAATAAGAGTCATAGTTCCCTCCACTACAGGGGTTTTGAATTCTTTCAAGCCGGTTACTTTTCTTTTGATGATATCGTCTGTAATTGCTATATCTCTTATTTCATTTTCCACACCTGAGGCATACATTTTCTTAGGGACTGGCATGTTATCCATTATCTCTTGTGTGAATACTGATGCAAAGTACAGTAAACCCTTCTGATTCGCGGGTTTGCGTCTCACAATTTCAACGATTCGCGGAAAGCAAATGGTGGTGAGCTTGCAACCTTCTCCCACAGTACAACGAGTCACCCCACTCACCCACAACGTTTCCTCTCCCTCTGTTCATGTTCAACCATTGCCTGTGATGCAGCATCTCATGTTGTACTCTCATAACTTCAGTGTTTCCGAGTGAAAATGGCCCCTAAAAGACTGCCTAGTGTCAGTGCTAGTAATGTTTGAGGAGTGAAGTGTAATAGACAGAAGTCAGTGATGACCCTGACAAAGAAAGTTATTATTATACAAGTTAAAGGATGGGATGAGTGCTGCCACAGCTGGCCGGTTGTTTGGAGTGAACAAATCCACAGTGAGATACATAAGGAAGAATGAACAAGCAATTCGTGATTCAGTTCAAGCGAGTGCTCGTGCAAGTGCTAAAGTGGTGCATGTTGTTCGTGAAAAGAACATAGCAAAATGAGAAAAAGCACTGAACATTTGGATTAAGGACCAGCACCACAAAAATGTACCGATCGACAGCAACGTGATTATTGAAAAAGCTAAGAATCTTTATGCTCATTTTTACGAGTCAATGGGTGGTGAAGGGGCTAATGCAGTGACTGAACCAAGTTTTAGTGACAATAAAGGTTGATTCAAGAATTTTATGAAAAGATTCTCTCTCCATTATATGAAGCTGACTGGGAAGGCCACATCAGCTGACCACACAGCTGCAGATGCATTTCCCCAAAATTAAAGAAAATACTAGAGGAGAAAGGCCATAGACCAGAGCCAGTTATTAATGCCAATGAATCAGGTCTATCTTCTGTGGCAGTACAGCTGGCCACATGATTAGGTCTGGCTTACTTTACCACTCGGCAAACCCTAGGACTTTAAAGGGTAAAAACAAGAACCTTTTGCCAGTGTTTTGGCAGTGCAACAAAAAGGCACGGGTAACTGTGCAAGCATTCCTGGACTGGTTCCATAAATGCTTCATTACAGAAGTGGAAAAGTACTGTACTTTGCTTCCAAAAAGATGGAATTGAAGGTGTTATTATTGATAGACAATGCACCAGGCCACCCAGAAGGTTTACAGTTTAGCTATCCAGATGTAGAGGTGGTGTTCCTACCCCCTAACACCACTGCTCTTATCTGACCTCTTGATCAGGGTGTAATACGTACCTTCAAGGCATATTATACACGCTGTTCTTTTGGTCTTATTCGTAGTGCCATGGACGCAGACCCTGACCTTGATGTTAGCAAGTGTTGGAAGAAGTACAATATTGCGGAGTGCATTACCAACATCAGTGAATCATTCAATGAACTCAAACCAGAGACAGTGAATGCTTGTTGGCACACCTTATGGTCTAAGTGTGTGAATAACTTTCAGGGATTTCCATCCATAGGAAAGAATGTGAATGACATTGTGAGTGTTGCACGTCATTTGGGTGGTGAGGGGTTTGCGGACATGGCACTGAAGACAGAAGAACTGATTGATGGGCATGGAGAGGAACTGAGAGAAGAGGATTTGGAAGGGTTGGTAAAAAGTGCTGAGGATGATGAAGAGGAAGAAATTGTGGAATTGCAACAAGAAGATTGGAGCTTGAACAATTTTGGTGAATTATTTCGACATGTAAAGGTGGCAACTGATTTCATTATTGACCAAGACCCTTTCATGGAACGCAGCCTTAAGATCTTCGGAGAAATCAACCAGGTATTGGTTCCCTATCAGGAAATGTTTAAAGATCTCAAAGCCAAGAAAAAACTACTCCCAATCACGATGTTTTTCAAGAAAGAACCAGCCACTCACCCAGCTGATTCGTCTCCCTCACCTACTCGTTCAACTGCTGCCACCGCTACACCACCCAGCTCCCCACCACCCACCTCCCCACCACCCACCTCCCCATCACATGCCTCTCCACCACCTGCTTCTCCACCAACCACTACTCCATCACCCTCTTCCAACAGTGATCCTGATGATCTCCCTATGCTTCACTAACCAGATTTCATCCTACTGTACAGTCCACTTCATCAAGCTCCAAACTTCTACATACAAAGGAGAGTAGGATTGGTGACTTTGTTTCTCATACACAGTATAGGTATACAGTAGTGCACTAAGGTAGTATAAGTTGCTATTAGCGGTTTGGCCAATTCTCGGCCATTCCTTAGAACCTAACCCTCAAGAATAACAAGGGTTTACTGTATTCATTTAAAGTATCAGCTGTTTGCCATCCTCCAAGTCCACATTGTTTTCATCCTTTAGAGGGCCGACAGTATCCTTGGTTTTCTTTTGACTTTTGGGCTAATTTCATCTCAAAATGCCATTTGGCTGATCTAATTTCCTGATTGGACACATTTAAGGCTCTTTTGTATACCAGACAACATAATCTGCATGGTGCCCTGTGTTCCGGTATTTCTTCTACATCTGGTATTTTTTCTTGCAGGCTTCCCTAGACCTGTGACTCATTCGCTTGGTGTTATTCCCTCTTCTCTTTTGTTTTCCTGGGTAAACATTCCTCTACTGCTAACTCAAGAATTTCCATGAAGTTTTGCATTGATTTGTCTGTCTGCCTGCTCTGTAACAACATCCTCTCAGTTAATTCTCTCTGTAGTTTGTCCCTCATGACCTGGTAGTCTCCATGGTTGAAGTCATAATTATGTACTGTATTCCTCCTCAAATATTTTCTCTTGAATATTAAAGACTGTATTCCATCTTAGTATGTAGTGGTCACTGGTTGGAGTTAGTGTCTACCCGACATGGACCTCGTCCACCATAGCCTCCTCAGCCGTCAAGACTAAATTTAGAATGTGGTCTTTCCTCGTGGGTTCTGACATGTGTTGTGTGAGGAGTGGATGATATCAAGGAATTCTTCTCCCTCAGCTTGTGTGGTAAGATTCACCCAGTCTCCCATGATGAGGGCTTGTGCTCTGAGTGCTGAGTCAGCCCTATAGCACATACCTACTGTCAGCTTGCTTTTGTTTTGAGCTATCAAATCGCACCAAATAAATTCAAATGATCTCATTTCATTTAGTTGTCATTAATGGTTGCTATTTGGTGCTCCTTGACATATACTTGTAGTAGTACTCCACCAAGTCTTGTGGCCGTGTCTTTTTCTGAACAGTGGGTGATAACCCGGTAAATATAATTCACCCTGTGTCACATCTGCTCAACCCCAGGACTCGCTAATTACAATGATGTATAGTACTCTAGCTGTTCTGTGTCTGCATATATGCTCCATACATCAGTCTTATTAACCAGACTTCTGGCATTTGTGTACCAGCACTTGATTAGTCGTGTTTCTAGGACTCCTTTTTGAAGACTGTGATTCTAGAGCAGTTGTTCTCTCTGGGTTAGTAGTATTACTTAAAACTAAAGCATGCACTATGTTAACATTATTTATAGTTGGTTCACCACTTGCCCCTATCAGTGAGAAGGCTGATACACTACCCTGACTACTCTGCCACTTTTGATCTTAGTTGATTATTATAAATAAGATAAACCAAACAAACCTACTTAACCTATCCTGGGAGGAAGTGCATTATTTTATGTTTGGTTAGGTAGCTTAGGGTATTACTTTGTTACTTCACCTTATTGTCAAAAGGAGAGCAAAAATGGTGTCCTTGTAAGCACAGACATTATTTACTCTTAACAAAAACTAGGGAAACAAAGGTAAAAGTGAAGGAAATGGTTATCACCAAAAATAATTTATAGAAATGAAAAAAAAAGTCTGGAGATACTATTTCCATGCTACTAAACACAAAAATGGAAACGAGAATGCACAGAACCTAATAGAACCTGACCAACCTAACCTTACCCAACTTCCTAGCCAGCCAGACACCCCAGCATACAGTATTAGGCAGAAAGAATGTTGATATCTGGCACCAATGGAAGCAACTATCTTAAAGTGATGTAGTTTTATGTTTTTTAATGGATGTGATAGTTGTGTATGATCAGTTAAGGCACTGAAACACATATTTCATCTTCACTGTGAGTTCTCTGCTGCATTTTTAATACTTGCACACCTTGCCAACTAGTTAATGTTGACAAATGATCTCTTGGGGATGGTCTGCATCCTCCACAAGCACAGATAACTTGTGATACTGTATTATACCAAACACAACATGATAAGGATGCCATTGAAAAACAATATGGCTTCTCCTTCAGTCCTCCTCCTTGTGGAAGAGCAATAAGTATACGAATATACAGTTAACTTATTAACCAATGCTACTCTGGATAGTGAAGGCTATAAAAAAAAATCAAGGGTATACAGGATTCTACTAAAGGGAGCAAAACCCCCGATATTAGGCTCCGTCATTTATTAACAATTTAAGCAATATCAGAATCAGAATTTATGTTCATAATCGGATGACAATACGCACCAACAGGCCAGGGGTTTTTTCTGGAATATTTACAGTAAATAATAATGTTTTTAATATACAGAGCACCTAGTGTGTCTTATGATCAGTTTTCCGCCAGGTATTTACCTTGCAATTTCCCTCATCCTTGATGCTCTGCCTACTACAAGTGATTTATGATAGCAATAGAGAAAAAGAAAAAATACTTATACAGTAATCAAAATAAAGTTACTGTATCAATTTTATCATTTAATATCATCCAAAGAACAACTGTGGAAAATATGAACAAAATATATAGGCCCTTAACGAGTTCAGGTGCTAACCGTCTCGTACACTTTACCAAATCAAAAGGTTATAATCTTGTTATAATTCTTCAGTAGTGGTTTTTTTTGTAGTGGCAGGGGGAGATATTCAAGCGGTAAGAGTAATTTTTCTTCTGAAGAAATTTTTCCTAAAATGGCTCCTTCTCACAAATCAGGATTCCAGTCTACTGTATTACCAAATTCTGCAAAGTTCCAACTTAACCTACAATACTGTTAATGAATATTACAGATTTGTGGTTTTCTTGAGGTATGGAAAAAGTTGTAATATTATTTGACTTTCGGACAACACGGGAATCAGGAATTTTATAGGTACAGTAATTTTAACAATTCTAAGACACTTTTCTTCTATGACATTTCCCTCGCAAACAACTTTCAGTATATATGCAGAGTTAGGAAGTTAGGTAAGGTCATTTGCGATAAAAATTTAATAAAAGAAAAATGCCTTAAAATTGTCTAAACTATTGATTACAAAGTTAAAATTCTTAAAATTCCCATGGTGTCCAATAGTAAAAATTTATCAAAGTTGTTCAATAAAATTTATGTTGAAAAATACCAATAGTGTGGTTCAGGTGCTCAAATCCCATTAAGAAGTACCATTTCTAAAATCCTACAACCACAGATTTTCTATGATCCCCAGAAATCTTCAAATTAGCGAGCCAGTTTCTAGGATTACATAAGAGCTACAAAAACACATTAATAATATGCTGTGGATGTTTGCTGTTGTTGGTTAGGCAGGTTTTAATTTAGAATAACACCAGGAATTAATGGAGTTGGATGAAACTTTGTGGAAACGTTAATTACCATCTATTAAATAGATAAATGGAAACGAGAACCAATTCAGTGATGTTAAGTTTGTTTTAAAAGGTTTTTCTGGTAAGTTAGGCAGGGTAAAGTAGGTTACTTTAGATTAGGTTGGGGTATTATTGTATAAGTTGCCACCCACCAAACTTGAGAATTTATCTTTGTAATCAATAGTTCAGACAATTCTAAGACAATTTTCTTCTATGACGTTTCCCTCGCAAATAACATATACATGTATGCTGGAAGGGTCCAGGGGGAAAGAGCCCCAAGGGTGAAGAGGTTAGGTCAAGAAATTTTTAGGTCATTTGCGAGGGAAAGGTCATAGAAGAAAAGTGTCTTAGAATTGTCTGAGCTATTGATTACAAAGATAAATTTTCGAGATTTCGTTGAATGGCAACATACAAATTTACCTAGGTTGGTTAGGTAAAGTTCTAATAGGTTCTGTACTTTCTCGTTTCTATTTATCTATTTAATAGATTGTAAATAACGTTTCCACAAAGTTTCGTCCAATTCTATCAACACCTGGCGTTATTTTAAAAAACTGCCTAAGTGACAACCGGAAAAATATCCAGCCTTAATAATATAGGTACAGTACCCGGTATATTTTTTTCTATTCCGGTAATTACTCGTATGATAATCTGAAAACCCAAGAAGCTAGAGGACTACAGAGTTCACTATTATCCTTTATAAACCAATATATAACCACAACAACATGGCCATCATCATAAAGCACCTGGTCTGGGTCCACAACAGCCTCTGACAGCAGCCCTTGAGAGGCGGCCATGGAGCGTACATGTCCCACAAACTTGTGATCACAGCGTAGATAAACCACATCGTTCAGTTGGTCGAAGATAAGCACAGCCAGCATCCTAACGACCCTAACCACGCCCTTCACTCTGATCCTGACAGTCAACTAGCACCTGTATCACCTAACTCGTGACCTTACGCCAGGGAGCAGGCGTCATCCGTTTTCTCTTGTTATAATGGGATAACATAATAGCTTTACCACAGATTATTTTTATTTGCAAATACATAACAGTTATTTAATTGTAAACACATAAATTGAGAGGCATTTCTTACACTTAGGTGAATTTAATTTCATCTATCATCGTAATTCTTAAATTGTGATGTACCAACTGACCCTGAAAGAGAGGGTGTTTAAGAAGAATCTAAGTGGTATAAAATTAAACTGAGGGAGAGAGACTTATTCATTGAGGATGTATCTACAGTTCCCCAAACTGTAGCGTATTAAACCAGAGCCTCAATTGATAATGTAACAGCGCTAAACCCTAGCTACCTCCTTGTCATGGGGGGGGACTTTAATTACTGTATTATTTTTTTTTACTTTTATCCTCTTCACCACTGATCGGTTAGTTAGCCGCTTGGGTGATCTGTCAATTCTCTGTTAAGCACTGTTGGCAAGTACTGGGCATGCACCGGCTCCTGAATGTACCTGAACCTGTTCCAGTGTTGGTCAAGTCTGGTTTTGAAAGAGCTCACACTGGGTCCGACTAATTACCCAAATGTAGCCAAATATAGCCGGAATGAAGTCAAATAATGGTCCTAGATGAATAAATCAGACTGCTAATCACTTCTCGACTGGTATTTGGTGTCACAAAGTCACAAAAAATTGGTAAACTTAATTTAATCTGAGTTTATAGATCAAGTGCATGTACCTAACCTAACCTAACACAACACAACTCAGATTAAATTAAGTTTACCAATTTTTTTTTACTTTATGACCCCAAATAATAATTGAGAAGTGATTCACTGCCCGAATTACTCTTGTACGACCATCATTTGACTTAATTGCGGCTACATTTGGGTAATTCCTCGCTCCCTCGGTACATGCACGCGATCTATTAACTCAGATTAAAGTAAGTTTTCCAATTTTTTGTGATTTTCTGACACCAAATACTAGTCGAGAAGTGATTGGCAGTCTGATTTATTCATCTAGGACTATTATTTGACTTCATTCCGGCTACATTTGGCTACATTTGGGTAATTAGTCGGACCGCTCACACTCGGTGCCATCACAACACTTTCTGGGAGATTGTTCCAAGATTTCACAACTCCCACTCTGAAAAAGTTTGCCCTCACAGTTTTCTGGACTTGCGGCTTCTTCAATCTTGAGCTGTGACCCCTTGTGGGGCGAGCGTCCGCCAGCTCCAAGTAAGGACACTCAACTGAGTAGTGCCCCCTGAGATGCTTATACACCTCAACTAGGTCACCCCTTGCCCGTCTGTAGTATAAGCTAGGCAAGTTCAGGCGCTCCAATCTCTCAGGGTAGTTGAGGTGCCGAAGTGCAGGCACCAGTCTGGTGGCCCTCCTTTGAACATTTTCAACCAACTGACAGTGTGCAAAGTCCAGCGAGTTCCCAGGCCACTCCAGCACTTGAATATTCTTGGCACTACAAAGGAATTAGGCTGGAACACCTTCCAATTTGTGGATCCCTACCCATGGTGGATAGGCTTCCAATCCTATGTTATTGTCCACTAATGGGAACCATCAAGGGTAAATTCTGCTTCGCAAGATTTGTTCTGTTATCAGTTTCTTGTGATCCAGCATGCATATGAATGTTTTTATCCTGCTACTGGAGTCCACTAATGGGAATTACTGGCTAAAATCTGTTGTTTTCTGTTCATAAAAGCTAATGTTCCAACATTGCAGCTTACTCCTAAGCTTGTTTTAACAGCGGAGAAAGTCTTAAGTGGATTGAGGATCAGAACGGGAAAAAAGTGCCTCTGAGTGGATCCGAGATGAGAACAAGAATCATGTTCCAAATCATTGGTGGTGAAGGCTCCAACCTAGGCATGACTATCCCTGGCAGCTCAAAGGTAAGAATAAACACTACCCCCCTGTGTTCTAATGTACAGACAGGAGAGCCAAAGTGACTGCCAAGATGTTTGTGGAATGATTCCATACCGTTTTGTGCACGAATTCAAGAAATACCTGGCAGACCAGAACTTGGGTTTAAGATGTTCATTGACAATGCACAAGACCACCAGAACATCCTACAGTTCACTGACCTGAACATTTAGGTGGTACTATGATAGAACTATCTCCCTCCTACAGCCCATGGATGAAGAGATAATCATGACATTCAAGTAATTTTACACCCACGACCCATTCAAAATGGTCATTGATAAGATAGGTGCAAAATTCTCTTCTTCATCACGGATTGTTGGAGGCAAATTAACAAAGCTTACCATCATTTGAATTAGCTGATTTTAATGAAGTCAAAATTTGACTGCCCTTAGCAAATTTGTTTAACCTGTCCTTAAAAACGGGTGTAGTATCAGAATCCTGGAGGATAGCGAATGTAATACCGATTTTCAAAAAGGGAGATAGCTCACTATCCTCTAACTACAGTCCACTCAGCTTAACATCAATTGTCGACAAATTAATGGAAGCAATAATTTCAAACTCTATTCGAAATCACCTGGAGAAGCACAAGTTGATCAATGATTCCCAACATGGCTTCACAAGCGGGCTTTCATGTCTAACTTATCTGTTAACATTCTTTTCAGCTGTTTTCGAATCAGTGGACGAGGGGCACAACTATGATGCGCTATATCTTGACTTTAGTAAAGCCTTCGACAGAGTCCCACACGAAAGACTAATAAGAAAAGTGGAGGCTCATGGCATTGGTGGAGATATTCTAAAATGGATTAGTGCGTGGGTACAGGACAGAAAAGAGCGAGTGAGTATTAACGGCACTAAATCCGATTGAAGTAACGTCACAAGTGAATTACCCCAAGGCTCAGTACTAGGACCATTATTATTTATTACAGTACAGTGTATATACATTAACGACATAGATATCGGCCTAGACAGCAACTTAAGTAAATTTGCTGATGACACTAAAATAGGGCGTATAATTGCTTTTTGCTTCTAGCCTTTTCACCACTGATCGGCTCATTAGCCGCTTAGGCAATCGGTCACGTCTCTGATTACGTTTCCTTTTCTTTTATCCTCTTCACCAAAATTCCGGCTCGTTAGCTGCTTGGGCAATCGGTAACGTCTCTGTTATGCACTGTTGGCAAGTACTGGGCTTGCACCGGCTCCTGAATGCAAGGTAGGTAGATAACAGGTAGCCTCACGCAGGCCCATAGGAATTCACTCATTGGCAACTCTACTCTCGAGACCGCTAAGCCACGCCCCTTATGTCACTTCATGCGTTTGTAATATTGTGGTATTATTATCTTAGATCCTTTCTCTAATCAAAATATACTAGCATAAAATGTTATTAATCACATATATATTTAATAATATGTAATACTGTATACAGTGTATATTGCCATGTAAATTATACAATAAGAAAATGTTTGACGAAATTTACAATAAAACGGGAACTCTGGTTGAATTGTAAAGTATTCAATACATTTCCTCCCATTTTAAATATCCCGCTTCTACTGTTTGATGTAACGCAGTGGGCGGAGCTTAATAAGTGATGTCATCGCTAGCCAATCAGCGACGTTGGATGAAATCCAGCAGTCGCAAGCAAGATATTTCTATTTATTTTATATATTTAATTAGTGGCTCCAATTAAAATAAAACAAAAAATCTCTATTCCATACATTTATTGTACAACTTTTAATACCATCATAAGCCTTCAAAAATACGTAAATAAAAATTTCATTTTTATTTTCATTAGCGTAGATCCCATGGGAGTGAGGCTACCTGTTATCTACCTACCTTGCCCAGAATAGCGTCAGTTTGTGTCTCTGCTCAGTGGAGGAAGCATCTTGCTTGAGATGCTCTTGAACATATGTACAGTATACTATTTTTACAGTACAATTATTGGTCATTCTGAAATTTATTTTATATATTGACAATCTATAATGCAGTGCAGTATTGATTTAAAGAAAATAATCTTGAATTACACCAAGTGAACTTAAAATTTTATGGGTGAAATGGCGGCATGAAGCATGGGGTGACTTCTCTTCCCACTCCCACTTCCTTCTCTTCTCCTCCTCCCCCACTTCTAATTCCCATCATCATCAACCAGGAGCCTTCTACATACACACCTGCATTTATTTTTAGTTTGTATGTAATTTTCGGTGAGCTGGAACCAATTACCCTTTGAAACAATGGATTCGGTTTATGAAATTTTCGGTTAACAAACGCCTTTCTGGAACGAATTGTGTTCGTTAACCGAGGGACCACTGTACAATGTTTTTTGCTGAAATTACCCGCGTTTCAGTGTAAAGTGTCATAATAATAAATGGTAAACAATTTGCCTTTGGCGCTAAGTGTTTCAGGCACAGCGACCCTCAGTTTATAGGACATAGAGTGTTTTTAGTGAAGGTTTTCTGAAATGAGTTTTATATGCCATAAAATATGGTGCTTTATTACCCTAATTTGTTGTTCCATTACCCTCAAAAATTTGCGTCTACCTATAAATGAGACATATCATAAATTAATGATTTCTTGGTCAAAAATCAGGGTCGACCTATAAACGAGGTAGAATTATAGACGAGTATATACGGTAGGTGTTTCATGAACTGTGATGCCGAAAAAAATAAATAAAAATAAATAAATAAATTATGCAGTTAACTTCTGCCTTCACCACTTTATATAATATATTCCTTTAGTTCATATAATACTGCATAAATCATTAATTTCTACTGTGCACTTTGTACTGATCAGTAAATTACCCGAAACTCAGGATTCACATTCGTACAAAATATGTAAGAAACACTGTATGGCGGAGGCTTCTTCCACACCTTGCATCTATAAGGTTAAAAAAAAGAATACTACTATACATTTATTTATTTGAGATGACAGTCATTTTAAGTGTTTCTTGGAGTCTATTATTGAGCAGATTTTAGGGATCTGTACATAAAACATGTGTTAGCATCTTATGGAAGGCTGTGTCAAGCTTGGCCATTTTGACTTGGAAATGAACTTCAGTATCAATCAGTTTCTTCTTTGTAGGGAAAAAATCTGCTTACCTTTAGACCAGAGGTAAAAGTCCCCATTTTTCTTACTGGGTGAAGCTTGAAAATGTCAATGGGAAATTTTGGGGGGGTTCTCAAGTTTCTTTTAAATATGAAACATGGTAACAGCTATGAGAAGTGTGGAGTATATATTATTCTGGAGAGTATGCCACTAGATAACTTTTAAAATAGATCATTATAAGAAATGTCAGGTACAGAACTTCTACCAAAACATAATTATCATAATATCACATGTTATCAATTACAATCCTAAATAGCAGGCTTGGACTAAAAAGAAAACAAAACAAAAACAGTAAAGAGTAAACTTTTAGTTACTGAAGTCAAATCAAGCATAAATAAAAAAAAGTGGAAAAAAGGACAGCATTATCTCAATAAGAGTACAAACAACAAAACATAGTACCTATTTTCAGTATTAATTGTTCATCTATCAGTCTATGAACAATGTACTATCATGCAATGGGCAAGCTCGTTGCTACAATAATCCTGCAGATTAAATAGTGTTAAAAATTAGTGACTTAAGTTTTTATTGGTTACATTTCCTAATGAAATGCAGAAAATCTTTAATATTTATGATACAAAGCTGCAGAACAATTTCTTCAGACTTAAAATAAATAAATTTAACAAACTGATATCAGGCACTTAACAGAGAAACTGATCACAAAATAATTTATCCAACCTTGAGTATGTTTTACAGTTTTCCATCAACTTGACAAAATTTGGCTGATGGTTGTATAACGCTTGTGATCAATGAACAAATGGACTTACTGCTACACAACGGTTACCTACTCTAGCATCTTAGTACAGAAACACTGCAAGGCCCAGAAATTTTATTATCCTAAGACATTCTTAATAATGCTGGCAAAACCCCAAAAAGAAATATTAAGAGAAAATCCATAGGATATCAAAGCATAGGTCTTTTCTAAGACAGCACAGGACAAGTCAGGATCATTATTTTTTTCCTATGTGGTTAAATAAAATAAGTTTATGTACAGGAAATGTAGGCAAAAACACTGGAGCTGGAACTCAATGAGACAAATTTAATGATATTCCTCAAGTAGAACAAAATCCTTTTTCTCATCACTCAAGTACTTGTTAAACAAAGAAACAGAACTACAGTAAAGGAGTTGAAAATATTGTATTAAGATTGGTCACATAAAAGAATCAATACTGGTCACTTTTGATCCTTTATTGTATCATAATTATGTGACACACAGTTCCAGATCACATCACACACACAGAACCTACCACAGAACTTGGAACAAACATATATATTGTATGTATGTATGTACAATCACCTACTAAACATTGCTGTGATATGGTATGCATTAGGAGGAAATATTGTCTCATGGGGTCCCTAGTTTGAAAGAATTCATCATGCTTGTAACTCAATAAAAATGATGCACTCATTCTTAGCATTGGCACTTAAAGGCAACAAGAGAAATTTATTTTACTGCACCTTTAAACAAACCTCATTATTCTTGTCCAGGCAATTCAGATCAAGAAACATACACAGGACAACTTTTCTGGTACACCTAAGTGGATAAATTTATAATAAACAGTTATGGTAAAAGTCAAGAGAGAAACAGAATTAGAAGATTAGTGTAACAAGTAATTAAGATCCTTAAGATACCCATAAAACAATACCCAACCCTATTTTACGAGTGATTGTAAAGCACACAAAAGTACATAAGACAGACCAGCTGAATTCAACAATAGTCTACGCATTACCAACAACTCTGCAGAGTGAGCTCCAGGCCACTGCTTGAAAACTCGCTTCTTGGACACTTCTACAAGCACCTCTTAACTGTTGACAGCCTTTTGAATTCAGTAAAATCCTGTTAGGTCTAACAAGTGCCATTAGTAATCTTATTTTCACTGGCATTGCTCCAAAACAGTGGGACTCGGACCAAAATTAAAAAACAGCTAGTACCTATTCCCATTCTTTTGTAGCCAAACAATTTAAGGAATTGTTTGGCTACAAAAGAATGGGAAAATATATATATATATATATATATATATATATATATATATATATATATATATATATATATATATATATATATATATATATATACCTGTAATGTCAATTGTTCCAAGCGATGACACAGGCCTCAAGCATGAGTTTAAGGAATAATTAGGAGACAACAAGCTGTACATTCATTATAATGACCTATGATGATCTGTATGTTGAATTTCAATGAGGGTCATACACCATTAGTTGTAAAATTTTGGAAAAAAAAAAGAAAAGAAAAGAAGACTATTATTTGATGGTGAATTAATTGACTTTCAAATCTCCCCTTTTCGTACCTATAAAAAGCTAAGCGTAAATTTTGTAAAATCTAATGGAGCTGATATTTATGGAGAAGACATGGAATCCTCATATTTTATAAAAATAATACAAATATCATCAGTATACACATTGTAGAGAACATGTTTCAATAAGTAATTCCAGTAAGTTTAAACCATTATTTAAGGTAACTTTCCTAACATTATTATATTAACAACCAATACAGACCCTAACACTGATTACTTTACTCTTGATAACTAATACAGACCCTTAAATTGATGACCACATTACTGTTCAAGAAATTTCTTATAATTATAAGAAAGGAAAAGAAAGGAAGCAATATCACCTAATTTAGGGATATAATGATGTGGAAAACTTTGAATGTTTCCTATCAAAATAAATAGTTGTAGAAGGTCACTGAAACATCTTAAGTGATTACATAACAGTGAGGGGCCTACACCATGCGAATAACATTATGTACATGTTAGTTACTGGAATAAAACAAGTGCTATGTACATTCGTTATATATGCATCATTACCAGGACATTACTAAAAATACAAGTCTAAACAATCATCTATGGTCTCATATTTCCAGAACCACCTTTCCTTGGTAACATTTCTCACGGTACACTCTATACACCACCCCATATAACGGAGCAATGCAGAGTTAAATAATTCAGAGCCTCATTCAAACGTGTGATGTCATCCTACTTCATGTCCTACCCTTACAAATATACATCTATCAAACTTGTCAAATGCCTGGCTAATATCTGTCCTCATCAAATATACATTAAGACATATCTAATACTCCCTTAGAGACCTTAAAATTATTGTTACTCAAAATACATGGTAAGCTTACATAACTGTAAAAAGCAATATATGTATATTCTTGTTTAAACATACAGAGATAGTGTTCATTTTCTCAGGCAACATAAGATTCAATTTACATTTTTACTCTTATTATGAAAATGTCTTTAAAATTAATGGTATGACAAAAGTGCTGTGAAGTTCTTATAACCTAAAACATTTGGGGTAACTGAATTACACATTAAATGGACCCCATTATTCAGTGGCTCTGTAGAATCTAAATTACCTCATTAAATATGCATTCCCTTACATTTTCAATACTGTACCACTTACAGAACCATTTCTAAGCGGTATTAGACACAAGTATCACTTACAAGAAATTCCTAAGACACCAGACACTACACAGAGTTTGTTGGTACTCTAACCCTGATTATACACTGATCATGCAGAGGCATTAGTTGCTACCAAAACCTGCATCTTCATTATCAGTACATATAAACAAAGCACACGAGTATCCTCACAATTTACTAGAAGTGTTTAAGTTCATACAGTCTTCGATTTTATGACTTACAAAGCTTTACAATGTTTTGCCATCATTTACTAGTTACTTACTGTATAATGCACATACAGTACTGTATGTGTGTCTGTAACAACATTTTCTCAAAAGCAACACAGCAAAAATGCTGGTAGGGCTAAATGATATATGTATATTATATATGATTCATATAACAAATTATTGGTGACTGAAGTGCAGAAATCAGATAGCCTGTCGTCTTTAATTGCACTTATATATTTAAGAAAGAATAATCACTTGCTCCCGTTCTTAAAGAGAGTATTCTGTGATTACACAAGATGCTCTGATGGCATAACTACTATGCATGAAGTGGTAGGAGTATGCTCCAGTTTTTGGCCAAACAAGAATACTGAGTACCAAGTGCAGAAACGAATTTTTAAGCAAATTCTACGTAGTTGGCCGGGTAGAGGCCTATGCGTCCATCCTTTCGTCCCGTACACCAGCCTTGTTCGTCTTCGTCCTCCAGTTTCTCAAACATTTCACCTAGGAATACAAGAAAAATATTGAGGTATATTCTTGCCTTAAACAACCCATCTAAATTTATTTAAGTTTGTCCTATCTGGAACCTATTACAGGTAAACCTCGATTTACGATATTTTAAGACCACCTCCCTATTTACAATAAAAAAAATTTGCATTCATAATGGCTATCATCCAGCCAAACTTGCTGACGTGCAGAATACTGTACAGGTATCCCTTATTTAATAATTGGGATGCGTTCCTCAAAAACCAATCATTAAGTGAAATGATCACTAAATGAAGGTTAATAAGAAATAACAACCTAAACGAGCGATAACAAGGAATATTATCCGTGAAAATGGCATGTACAGTAGAATCTCGATAAATCTGACTAATTAGGGCAGACCCCAGTCCGAAAAATGCAGAAGTCTGGAAAAAAATAAATTAAATAAAAATCTATTGGGCGTGGAGATAACACTGCTTATCTTAACTTTTTAAAGAAACTCAGTTGTTGTTATGTTATTACTGCACTTCAACAACTAAGGCCTAAGTGTATAACAAGGTTATTAAAAGACTATTACATCAACAATAGACAAAGTTATGAGACAGAACTCTCTGGGTTGAAAATCAGACATAGGTCTGGTTGTCAACAACTGCTGTTACCGAGATGATTGTCATTTACTGTAAAGTGTTATATACTATAAGTAACCACAGAATTTGTCTTATGAATAAAGAGATAACTGTATACTGTATTGTACAGCAATATAAAGATAAAAATAATATCAAATAAGTGTAGGAGTATATTGTATGTGAAAAACGAGTGTATATCTAGGAGCAGAAGGGTGGGGGGGCTCTCTCCCCAAAGATCCCTTTAACTCGTCTTTATGCAATTTCACATTAATTCTCATATCATTTAGGTTCATTTGAAGCAAAGTTGATAAATTATTATCCTGTAAGAATCGTCTTTCCTAAAAAAAAAGAATCCCACATTGAACACTATGAATCGTTTGTTTACAAAGGCCAAACAACTCATTGGCCTAGTTCCTTCACCACGCATGCTTACCCCAACGTCTGTCTTCAACACTTAGTGAATTAGTACAGTACAGTAGTGTATTTATCATCACTTAATCTATTCTATTGTAGTGTATTTATCATCACCTAATAAGTAATAATGTAGTGTATAGCAGTGCTTCTCAAACTATCTGATGTGGAGGACCAGCAGGTTTTTTTTTTCCAATGTGCCAGGGACCAGTACCATATTTATGCCATATTTTTATTTGTTTACGATCCAAGGAAATATTATTTGAACATTCAGGTTTTTTTTTTCAGCTTTAGTATCAGTCCGCCAATACATTAATCGGTTCTAGGGCTTAAATTCCTTACTATTTTTGTAAATATCAAGAAGTTTATACTATTCAATAATTTTAAAAGTTTAATATTCAATTTTTAGTCATTTTAACAATTATTGAACAAAATTGAAGGTAAAGTGACTAGTTTAATGCGCGGCATCCAGCCTCTTAACACAGCAAACAGGCGTAGTCTCTCTCTGTTTTCACTGGAGGTAACATCTTGCTTGAGACTCTCTTCAACTAAACGCTTTTTTTCTGTGTTTCCAAGCAAATTATTGGTCATTTTGAAATATATTTTATATATTGACAATATATAATGCAGTGCAGCGTTGATTTAAAGAAAATAATCTTGAATTAAACCAGAGAGCTAAAATTTTATGGGTGAAATGGCACCATGGGGTGACTTCTCTTCCACCCCAATGCCTTCTCTTCTTCCTTCTCCTCCACCCCCATTCTAAATCCCATCATCATCATCATCATCCAGGAGCCTTCTACATACACACCTCAAAGTAAGTGAACTTTTCTACCATTTTTGTTGAATTTAGGAAATTTTCGGTGAGCTGGAACCATACCCAAAAACCCATTGAAACAATGGTTTGTTTTTTTTTTTTTTTCTTTTTGTAAAACAAGTACTGTATTACAATATAAATAAAAACTATTAAAAAATCAAACTAGCAAAGCCTTCTAACAAAGATATTATAAGCATATGTATATATAAGTAATAAAATGAAAAATTATACTGAATAAAGTAGGTTAAAAAAAATTATATATTTTAGTTATTTTAAACCCCAATGCATAAAGACGTTAAAACAAAGATTGAAAGGAATAGGCAACATTAAATTGAAGACAACAATTTTGAAAATGTCGTAATACTAAAATATGAAATTAATGATTATTTTATTGACACAATAACAGGCATGTTAAAACCTTAACCTTTACTAATGTGAAAGGTGAGCTGCTTCTTCTTTGTCAGCTTATCTAATCGTGGTTCAATTGAGGACAGTGCCACGAGCAATGGAGAATGAATATCCATACTATTCCGGTACTTTGTCTTAATGACACTCATGGTTGAGAAGCCAGTCTCGCAGAGTTATGTTGAAGGAAATGGGAGAAGAGTTTTCAGAGCAATTTCAGTAAGCTCAGGATATTCTGCTTTCACTTTTATCCAAAAGGAACCAAATGATGTTGTAGTTTAATAACTCATCTTCAATCCTTCGTCAGCAACCAGCTCCAACAATTTATCCTCCATAGTGACACTTGAGTCATCTCTCAATGACAAACGGATTTCGGATCCATCCATTCCCTTTCCGTGGTTCTTCTGCTGGAAAGTAATGCTAAAAACGTTCTGCCAAATTCGTCAAGTGTTCTCTGATGACAATTGGTAGAGATGTAACATTAAGGTCTTCGCCTGCATCGGCGATGGCTTCCACTAATTGGTAAAACGTGTCATAACAATCTCTTGACACTCGACTCTTCCTTGCTTCTAGTTTTCGTTTTTGTCCGTCGATCTTGTCTGCCATTGTAAAACATGAAGCCATCCTTCCCTTCATGGATGTGTTGAGATCATTAAAGATGGCAAAGATATCAGCAAAATAAGCCAGCTTGGCTAGCCAATCCACATCCCGGAACAATTGTGACCATTTGTTTTTTTGTCCTGAAGAAGCTCGGCAAGCTCGTTTCGTAGCTCAATACTCTTGACAGGACTTTTCCCCTCGATAACCAACGTACATCGGCATGCAATAGGAGCTGTTTATGATTAGCTCCAATATCATCACATAATGCAGTGAATAGTCTCGAATTTAAAGCATTTGCCTTTACATGGTTCACAATTTTTACAACCTCGCTGCACACTGTTTAGTTCTGTTGAAATTTTTTTGGTTACAAAACTTTCTCGGTGAAGGAAGCAGTGCGTCAACTTGCATTCTAGGGCAAGCGCCTTGATCTGGGCAACCACTCCCAAATGTCGTCCTAGCATTGCGGCAGCGCCATCAGAGCACACGCCTACACAAAACTTGAAATCCAACCCACATTTGTTAACGATGTAGTCGCTCACAGTCTTGAACACTTCAGAACTAGTTGTTTTTGTTGGCAGGGAAAAAACTCTTCCTTCAAATCACCCTCATGTTCAAAGCACAAATACACCAGCAGAATTGCCATATTATCAATGCCTGTACACTCATCAAGCTGCAAAGAAAAGTACTTTGCTAATTTAATCTGTCCTATGAGCTGATCTTCCATATAGTGAATTCGTCGAGCTATAGTGTCATGTGAAAGTGGCACCTGAGCCACTTTCCTTGCCGCCAGCTCGCCCAGCATTTCCATGCAGACATCTTTAATACAGCCATCACTAGCATCTTACTGATTGTGTATGGCTTTTTAGCCTTAGCAACTTGAAATGCTACTTTATAAGAAGCCCGCAAAGCACAAGTATTTATGTGTGACACTTCAAAGATCTGTTTTTGACGGCCTTTTAAATCAACATGCTTTCTTTCAAAGAATTCTTTCGACTTTGAACTCATTTCTTTATGTTTTTTATTTAAATTCCTCTTGAGGTTTGACGGCTTCATTGAGTCGTTAGCCAACACATCTCTGCGGACTGGCAGCCGATGGCTCGCATACCGGCACCGGTTCGCGTACCACCACTTTCAGTAGCACTGGTGTATAGTACTTGTGCATCAGCATATACGTACCCTGGTTTATTCATGAATCAGTTGTCTAAGTGTACAAGTAGCCAAATTGAGCCATCATATAACACTCAAAGGTAATAAATAATATTGTTAGGAAGGTATCTTCATATCAAACATACGTATATTGTGTTTATAGTGACCCTGTTGTAAGCTAGTTTGCTGAAAGCTGCTCTCACAAGAACACACCCTGAGTGAATACCTTCCGATACAGCTTACCCGGTATCCTTTTATTTTCAAGTCATATTACAAATTACATATTGTATTTTTTCTTTATTATTGAATGTTATATTAATCATGACGAACAATAAACCATATGAGAATATAATACTGAATCAATAAATAAATAAACCTGAAGATTGCGGCAACACCCGATCACCCTGCTTATATGGGCAGTATCTTAGTTCTCGTTAGGCTTATAGCAAATCTGATAAGACCACTGTACAGTGTTCAGTGAGCTCATTAGATCTTTTTCCCATTTCTTAAAATATATACAGCATTTACATTTTTTTTAACAGTATTTCTGGTGACCCGAGTCTGAAAAAATGAATTCTAGTACAGTATATTGAAGTCTGACTTATCGAGGTTTTACGATTGTGTAGCAGAGTCGCCAGCCGGTAGCACTCATAGCGGGTGAGGCCGAGCTGTAAGCTATGTTATTGTTCAACTCATAATTTCGGGTATTTACAGTACATGAGGTGTGATTAATGCAAGGGTGAACTCACCACCCGAGTGAAAATGCGATTTTTGTACCATTTGTTTCAGAAAGTTTCATTCTACTATGACACAAGATGGTATGATGAGTTTGCCTTTGGTTTATTGGCAAAATCCCATTGAATTATATGGTGTAAAACTCCCAGCGTCTCTGTGCTGCGTGTGGTAATTTCTGCGTCTGGCGAAAATAAACCAAAGTCGAACTCACCAGTGGCTTGGCAATCAATCATAGCCTACCTTACTCCCTGAGCTAATCAGCATGTCCGGAAGGAGTGTGCCAACTAATGAAAAGCTCGCTACGTTCTATTTTTGGCATCCCAGAGGAAGATATATCTGATGTTGATCAGATAGACTACTAGCTACCTAACCCCCCCTACCATATTCTTTAGCAGAGTATAATCATCATCTACCTGTAGAGTGAGTGTTACCATTAGTATTTATTATTTTTATTTATTTATTTTTGTTTTGCTTTATTACAATATAAATTTATTGTTTAGTGTACAGAACTTTATTATTTCATTAATTTCATGAAGTTAATTTCACACCATTTCATTATTTGATATCAATGTGCACCAAAATTATACATGCCACTTCATTTATTACATGGCTCATATTCTGCATTAAATCACCTTTAAAATGATACCCATTGAACAGAAATGATGAACATTTGAAGGTTCTATGATGTTTTGAATACAGGGGGTCCCCGGGGTACGAACAGGTTCCGTTCCCGAGGACGTTCGTAAGTCGGATTTGTATTCGGAACACATACTATATGCATACCATTCTTACAAAACAATGTTTAAAATCCCACTATATCATAGCCTAAGTCCTTATATACATCTAAAATCACTTAATTTAAGGTAAAATAAGAAATATAATGACAAAATACAGTAAATGAAAGTAAAAAATAAGTCGTCAGGTAAATAAAATACTGTAAATTTCAAGTTTAACCCCATTCGTATCGGCAGGAGTTTGTAAGTCAGGGATCTTCTGTATGTGCAAACTTCAAACCCTATTTTCTCACAACTTGGTTTTGGAACATTTGTCCTTGCATTAAGCAATGCCTGAAATGTAATTTGGAGAATGACCCAAATTATGAACTCTGAAAGACAGCATGAAAATCTCCTCACCTCTTTCATGGAATTCTACAGAGAAAAGAAGATGCATGCTAAGCAGACAAACCTGATGTCATTTTTTACAAAAATTAAAACAATCTAGTGTTCATCCTGTTGCTGAAGCGCATGATGATGATTTCCTTCCACGCTGGTATCAGATGATGATGACAACCCCGACTCTCCTGCTGCTATTAAACCTGATTGGTGGTGAAGCAGTTGCTGCACCATCATTCTCTCAGTACTAATCCCACCTAACACCATCCTGCTACACCATCACACCAACCACATACAGTTTCACATAAGTAAAATATATTCTAATATGAATTAAACAAACTTGATACTGTACTGCTTTATTAATTTTATTATGATTAATACATATGCTCAGAAGTGCCCCCCCCCCCTCCCACACACAAAGGAAGAAAAAAAAAATTATTGTTACGTTTGGAGGACATTTATTTTAAAGTAGAACGTATCTCTCTTTATAATGGTAGTCAATGAGAAAAATGGTTTCTATTTACAAAAGGTTTTCAGGAACGTATTCCTTTCAGAAATTAAAGCACTTCTGTACAATACTCTCACCGGAATCCCTCGCTTGTAAATAAAATGTATTACTGTATAACAACTACAAACGACCATCACTTCACAAATAATACTGCAGTTCATACCATTAAGCTGTTTGTTACTTACCAACTTTAAATGAGAGTTCGTCTGCTTCAACACCTTCATAGTCATAGAGAGCCCTGACTGGCACACCTGGCTTGTTGGGGTCAACCATACGGTCACTGTAATCCCACTCATCATCATCACCACTCACACCATTGCTGGAAACACACCAACATGATGAAAAATTGTGTTGCCATAGTCTACAGTATTATAAATGACTGAAAAAGAGGAATTTAAGCATTCAATGTGCTGTGCAAGCATCAATGGAAGAAAAAGCAAATCTCAACCAAGAAGTGTAGGAAATCAAGCTACCATAGTCTTTGAATTTTTAAATGTGTCACACAGATACAGAGAATAAGAATGGAGAATGGGAATAAAAATTGTGAAAACAATACTATTTATGTATGGCATTAAAATATTCTTTGATAAAGGCTACCCAACACTACTGAACATTGGATACTAGCCCATAAAATTTTTCTTAATCTACACAAATCCTTTCAATCATACCTACACATTCATCCTACCAAAAATGGGGACAAAATTAAATGACAAATAACACACGGGTGTTGTGCACTAACATGAACCCTCTTGCCATTAAACAGCATGCATCTTAAATTACTGATGTGATGAGATTAATAACCGTATGTTTCAGTATCCTCTTTAAGTAATAGTGTAGAATATTCTATGACAGTCCTACACAGTTTTGTATGTGTCATGGTGGTAGGGGATAGCATACCCATTGTATGCTCACCCCTACTCTGTGCACCTTTTGCTCAATGGCCTGCATGGCTGTTGTGCCTGGAAGTTACACCATGAACTGTAAGTATCAGCAATGACCTTTACAAAATAGAATTAAAAGACACACTCTTACAAAGAATTTCCAGAGTGAGGTTCCACCAGTATCAAGAAATATACAAATAATGGTTAACTATATAGTGTTACATATGGAAGGGGCAGAGCTCAGACCTTACCATCAAGAAAGAAAAAAGTTTCTGAAATTCTGATAAATGTCAATTGTCAGAAGCTGAAAAGAAAGCATAACACAAAAATATCCTACAGCCACTATTATTAAGTGGGAAATAAATTGAAGGCTTGATCCTAAAATCTCATTTTATGACAGCATAGAACTAAATGACTTGTGTATTGATCACTAAGTCTAAGGTTTAGAAACCAAGGAAAACCTTTCATATTAGCAGTTTGGGCTAATTTATTGATTAATCTCCCCATTGCAGCTGTAGCTTTTAAAGATGTGGTATTAGAACCTACAGTCAGCACTTCAGTCTGGATACTAAGGATTCATGAAGTCACACTAAATGTGCACATTTGGCTCATCTGCTGGGTCTGCCATAGTGGAATTCCAGGAGTTATTCCATTCAGTTCCAGCTGACTTACACACTACCCAATATGGGGAGGAAGGGTATCCAAGTAGCTAAGTTTTAGGCTTAGCCATCAAGCATGATATCCATATCAATCCTTACTTATGGCCTCTAATCCTCCAATAAGAAACTCATCCCTAAGCCTGCTAAATTAAGCTGGCATAAATACTGTAGGTTAAATTGATTTGTTCACTTGAACTTTGCAAATGAGGCCTAAAGCCATTTGTATCAAGACAGAAGATTGGTTGACAGGAAAACATGCAATCAGTCATTCAACCGAGCTTTAGTATTTCATTTATCTTCCCTAAATTCTGCAATTTTAAGAAATAATTATTCACTACTGTTCTCTGATAAATTTTGCACTTAGGGAAGTAAAAATCAACATGTGAAACACACTGTTAATATAAATACTATAAAGAAAACAAGAATTATTATTTTTTAATTACCAGCGATATCCTGTCCCTCTTTGGACACGTCATGTGGCGAGGAGAATTTACATTGCTGAACTTGTTCGTCATGCTCGTGTTCTCTTTAAGATATTTAATTACCAGTGCATTTCACAAGCTAGTTGTTACTTCCCTAAGTGCAAAATTTATCAGAGATCTACAGAAAAAAGTTATTATTTCTTATAATTTCAGAATACTATAAATATGATAGATTAAATACAGTACTAAAGAACTGTAGTGACTCTTTATGTGTCCATCCACCAGCCTATCAGCTGCCTTGCTACAAACTGACCCTAGGCCTCATTTACAAAGTTTGAATGCACAGACTTTGGTGCTAGTGTGATGCACCTCACTAGATGCTAACTTTACCAAATATATGAGGGTAAAAGGACATAGTAGTTTTACAAATTCCCCTTTTCCACATAGTCAATCACTATACGAGTATTTCCTAGTCTACGTAATAGTTAACACACATCAAGCCAAAGAATATATTTTTCTTAGAGGACATGTTGAATGGGCACATATCTGAAGGAGACCACAAATAATGCAGAGCCCCACAAACATGAGCCTGAGGACAAAGCCTGGCCAAGGCAATTAGCAAAGATATAAATGCAAGCTTTTATATGTGATCCAATAATGATAATGCTTGTTGATGAAACAGTATTCTATGATCTTTTACACAAGAACTGCAGACTGACACCTATAGAATGATGAAAACCATTCACAACTTTCCAGGCTGGAAAGTGAATGCATTTAGTCCTAAAGAAAAGTGTCTCATTTGTAGATATTAATTCTTGGTTAGACCTAAGGGATGCCCAACTGAGAAAAGAACCAATTGAGACAAAATGTGAGGCTCCTTAAGAGTAAGAAGCCTGTAAATCGTTTCCTCCTTCAGGGGGAAATAAAAGGAAAATGGCCCTAAAAAAGGGTCAATTCCAACTATTCCGACACAAAGTTAGCTACAGTAGTAACACCTAAGGGTTATATTCACCAAAAAAGAAGGTACCATACATCTTTCTAATAATGTTGTTGAGGTGTCAACAACAAGAGATTCTGACAAGAATTTAGCAAAGTTCAACTGTAAGCAATTCAAAATATTTACAGGAAGATTGCCCACAAAAAAAAGGCAAGTTATAACTTGAATTAGCTTCCAGGAAGGTTCAAACTGTTATAATAATAAAATCCCTCTGCATTCTCAATAGACTACTGAAGCAATAAAGGCACTGTGCACAGTAGATAACACATCCAAAAAGCCTAAACATGAAACTCAACCAATATACTGTACAAGTCTTGGTTGAAAAGAGATGCCTCTTAACCCAAAGAAACACCAGTTCAGGGACTTTCTCCTGGAGCCATATTGGTGACAGACCCCTCAATTCTAACATACCTGAACCTAAGTGGAAAAGAAATAGTAGTTCCCTCTGACAGCCAATTAGCAGCAGTGCACATAGAGCACATTATAGTCTAAACCTATTTTTGATACACAAGGAGGCAGTGTGGATGGCACTACACCTGATTGCCCTCACTTCCCCAATTGCAAAATTAGGTTTCTATTCACAATTATGTGAATTGAAGAAACCCTGGTTATGAACCAGCAACCCTCAGGAGAGGAGGCAAATACTGTATCCACTTGATCAATGCATGGGGAGGCCCAATAAAGAGAACTTCAAAGGAAGGAAATGGTACAAGCAAAGTACAGAATATGACAATGAGGAGATTAAACAAATGAAAGAACACCATACCCACTTCCTCATATCTTTAACTTGCATAGAAAGTATACAAACGGATTCCTAGTCTCGACACTGCTTACAACACTTCATATTAACTGGGCATACAGTACAGTATTGATAGCTAATTTTTGGAAGAAACATGTTCTTGGAGTGCACCATATCTAAAAAGAGAACATAATATAATTCTTCACATCAGTTAACAGTGTAACTAACAGAAATGGTTAAACATGAAAATATAAATAATCATGATTGTAGTAATCATAAAAATATAACTTATGAATTGTTGTGACAGCCATCTTCAGAAAGGAAAGTGATGACTCAATTCAAATGCACATCAAATGAGCACATACTAGTATTACATGCCAGAATAATGCATTGGAGGCAATTTTTATTCAACTTGGTGTGTTGCAAATTTAAGCAAGGTAAATTGGTCTGTTGCAACTTCAGCAAATACTGATATGGCAGACAGTATTCAGCAAATGATATAAGCTGTGGAAAATTTAACTTCCCTGCACTACATTTGACTTCGGTTCTATACCAAGTCTCTATGTTCTTACTATAGCTTCAATAATTATTATAACAGCCTAAAGCTTTGAAAGAAAGCAAAAGTAGGTTCCACTGGCAGCATGGCCAGTACTGCACTCAACTGCATCCACTTCCCTAATTTGTAAACTTATGAACCAATTTACTGCTGAGTGAACTGGGAGTGCCCAGAGATTGAACCACCAACCCTGTGAACAGGAAGCATGCACTGTATCCACTCAACTGTCGTACTTCCTAAAGCCTTAAGTGCCTTGTAATACTGTGGTAGTAAAGAAATTCTTGACAGGTTGGTGATGAAAAGATCTTCAACCTGCATAATATCAATGCAAGTAGGTTCAACCCCATCCCCCCTTTTCAGCAAATATTTGTTTAACCCAATCTACTGGTCTTAAATTCCAAGGTGTTGGTCAAAATTCGAAGTATATGGTATGATTAATCCCTAAAATAGCCCCCAAATCTTAAAATTTGGACAATATATCCTAGTACCCCAGGAAAAAATTTTCAAGGGTAATTCTGACCACCACCTACACATGGTCTTGGACAGGTGATACAAAGCCAATAAAATAATTAACGGGTGAATATAATGTCTTAAGTCGTTAATTTTGCTTGTCTTCATTTACTTTTGAATATTACTGTATCTAATGTATTGCCATGCAGAAACAGTACCTTTAATTAACCTTCTTTATTATTTATTTCATCACTAGATTTAATACAACCATTATGAACATAAAAGTCATTGGAAATAATGATTAAGTATTTACTTTTGTTTCTGGTTTTGTAGAAAGCATTTTCTGACCATGAATACATTGAGATATTCCTCAGTGATTGGTCATCTATTTATATCTATATCCCTGGCAGCAAACACTAAAGAAATCTAGAGCACAAAAGGTTATCTCTTCTCACCAGAGACATTAAGATAATGCAGAAGCAAAATTTATAAACATGCACAAAAGCAAATAATGACAATACCATACAAATACACAATATCCTTTAAGGCACTCTAAGGAATTAGTTACTACCTTACATGCAACAAGTTTAGCAAACATTTAAAACATTTTAGAGAAAGTGACAATGCTGAGTTTTATTAAAATTTAAATCTCATGAATGGGAAGTTCATCCATGCACATAATTGACCCTAAAAAAATATTATATATACTGTATATAATATCTCCTATTATTACAATGCATTCAGTAAGTATGGTTTTTGTCTGAGCAAGGGTGATGGCACAAGGTAAATTTTATAATTACCAAAGTCCTGTATACCTGACATGTATAATGAAAAGAACCATTTTCTTTGTGGCCACAATTAAAGGTTAAGTTTTCTTAATTGGACATGACTCGACATGCTTTGCAATTTACTTCAAGATGAATGAAAAACACAAGGCAACTTAACCAATTGCCATCACCCATAATCAAGGCAGATTTTTACTCCCTCACTTTTGACTATGTGGATCGTCCTCCTCATCGAAAGGATTAGAAGCTTCTTGAGACTCCTGTGGATCGCTGGGGTGTGGGGGAGAGAGGGTGGGTCATTATCAAGGGCTGAGGCACAATAGCATACAGAATACAAGTGACCGCCTCCCAACATGTATGGACATGGGCTGGCTCTCTTTTCATTAATACTGTTGTGTTAATGAAAATGGAGTGTAGTACCAAAATCAAATAAAAATCCATTCTAAAATATTCAGTAGTTGCAAATGGTGTTTATATCCCATATGATGTATACTGTACTATGATAAATAAGCAAGTACTGTACTGTACTGTATACTGTACTGTGTGTGCATAATTCCAGTTCAATCCACTGTGGGAGCTGTCAGCCCATGTCCAACCAAAAGCAACAGAAATATATCCCTGAATTACTGCAATGCATGAGCTTACTGCAAGATGAATGCCATCTATGTACTATATTTACAGTGTCTGACAGGTACTAATACTGAAGGGAGAGGATAACAGTATAAAACTGTGGAAGGTAATGGTCATGGAACAACTCACCAGGGAAAAAGAGAGGAACAAGTGGGAAAAGTTTTAGGCAAGGTTCTTATATCTGGTAAAATTTTTATTGCAGGTGCAATTTTATTTTACAATTAGTAATACAAATACTCTACCACTGAATAACTATATCCTGAGCAATGAGTCACAATTATATTATTGTAAGATCTAGACTGACTTTTTTTTCCAATATCATGCAAATTATGTACAGGTACATGGATTGGCACAGTACAAGGCCTCTCATCTAAAAGGATTCTCAGGTCACATCACAGCTGGCTTACCTAGTGTTATATTGTAAGCTATTATATTTCTTTAGAAATTCGCAAAAGACTATTACAGGTATTAATGATATTCTCCAACCTTAATATACTGTCACTACATGAGAATTACCGTACCTGTAATTTGTACCTACTGGTATACTATCTGCACTTGTATTTATAAGAATGTTTTTGAATTTAGGTCAGAATACCTATTTCACCTCCCCCATTTTTATGTTTCTTTCCCCCAAAAACGTCACACTCTTAAATATTGTCGAATAAACAAAATATTCCCAGTTGAAGACGACCAAATTTGGTAGCATTCATTCGGGAGTGTTCAATCAGTAATATTGGGTATAAAAAATAACTTCTTATTACCATTTTATTCCCAACTGATGTTTTTCTAATACAGTTGGGTCTCACATTACGAGGTTAATGTAACCCGGAGGGTACCGCGGAAAGTGAGGAACGCGTAAAGTGAACAACATAACATATGGGATTAATTGAAATGGAGTCCAGGCCGATCCCCAAACTCCACTTTTTGACGACACACAACTATGTTGTAGTAAAAATATTATCTTAACTTTATGATGGCATGCACACACAATTAATAATTAAGAGAAATATCAATAATATTAGGTTTTTTAACACTTACATTAGTAGAAAAGATGGCTGGGCACACGGGGATGGGCGGTTGGTTCCGAGGCAGAGGGCAGATTATTGGCCCTCACCTGTATCACTTGTATCAATTGTATCACTATCCACCACAGAGGCTTGCAGGGCCTCTTTGTCAAACCCCCCAAAGTTCATATAAGTCCATATCCTCACTATAATTATCACTATCACTGACTTGGGCCGGCTGTAGTGGGTGGCGGGTGAAGAACCGGTAATGTTTTGATGACTGGGCGACCTTGTGCGCACCATTTTCGCGCCTCTTACACAACATGGCGGATGGCGGGAGGTTTGGATCCAAAAATGGCGCGGCTTGCCAGCCGCTCTCCGCGTAATGGGGTTCACGACCGCGGAATGTGAGCATGTTAGGTTCCGGCAGGGCACCGCGTTAACGGTGAACCGCGGAATGCGGGACCGCGTAATGTGAGGGTTGACTGTATAGATGCAAAATAATTTCCTCTTTCCAGAGAGAAAGAGGAAAATAGGGACATGTAATTTGGATCCCTAGATAAGTGGAAAAGTACATACATTAGACCCTCACAACTTTGGACTACAGTCATTTCTGCTACAACGCGTGTTTTGTCAATGCAAATTGGCTATAACGCGATTGATGAATAGAAGAATGATATTTGTAAAACGTGAACGCATGTTGGCTGTAACGCGATTCCACTCGAACGTTTTAAGTGTACTGTCGCTTGGCGCGGGGTTATGCAGTGTTTACAGTTCACGTTCAACATCACATGTTCAATTGATTCATGTGTTTTGTTTGTGAAGTGTTATTTGATAGGGACTCTATAAATTTCATCCTTTTTTTGCAAATTGAGCCGTTCCCATAAATACTGCATGAAAAAATAAATAAAAATAATGTTTCGCAGTGTGGACTAATAGCGTTTTACACCCGCGCGCTCTGTTTCCATCACACGATCAGTTGAAACATGTGAGTTATTTTGAAGCGTCCTCAGTGATTTTTGCTTACTATTTCTTCAATTTTGTGATATTACTGTGAATATGGAAAAGAAAAATATCTCCAAGAAGAGTTCTGGTGATCACATTCCCTGTCTGCATGACTCCTCAACCTCAAAATCACCCTTCTCCCCCATCAAGTTATAATCATATTTTTTGAAGGTAAAGTGTTACATTTACTGTATGATTTCATAATTAGATATGAATGTAACATTTATTTAGACTGTGCTATTCTTTGTGTTAGGCTAATTACTAAATTTTTTTCAATTTCGAGTAATCTGCACCTAACCCTATTTTCTCCATAAGCCCTGTTATTTCTTATTTGCGAATTTCTACAATGCGAGGTTTTACAAGAACACAACTATCACGTTGTAGCAGAACTGACTGTACCTGTTCTGTAATCTGGGAGAAGCCCAGACCAAAACTGAAGTTCTCCAAGAATTTACACAAGGTTACTAATCTCACACACCCCCCAGGCACATGCATTCAGTTAATGCCCTGTTCTCCATAGTCCAATAAATACCCTTGGATAGTTTTGTTACTTTTTATTTATTTATTTAATTTTTTTCATTGTTACCTAAATATCTACCATACAGTATTCTTATATACTCCTTCAATGACATAACATTTAGCTGATGTTAAGCAATAAAACTATAGATTAATGAACAAAGTTTGATTATTGGTAAGATATAATTTCTTGCCAAGTAATTTTTTTATTATCTATATCAGTGGTTCTCAACCTTGTTTGCCCCATGCACCCCTTTCACCATGTCAGAATGTCATTCCCCCCTCCTTTCCAAGATTGTCTGCCTCAAAAAGTGCATTCCAAATAATATGCATATAATACTGAAAATCCTTTATTTTTTCCATATTAGTATCAGTTCCCCCCCCCCCTGAAAACCTGAGGGGGGAAATTCCCCCCTGGTTGAGAACCCCTGATCTATATACTGTATAATACTCTATGTAGTTGGGAGTGACTGTGTGGATGTTGTCCACAGCTGTGCACTAAGACACAGTAGTTGCAATATTTCTATCTTGGACAGGAATAGTATCATCCATGGAAAAAATAATAATAATAATATGCATGGAAGTAATAGAATTGAGAAAAACCTTATTTCTTCACTCTGTTTTTAAAACTTTTCATGGGGGTAAGAATACATTTATCACCTATAGAAAAATTTCCTTAAGTTATTAGTTAATGTGCACAGCCACCATCTAGTGTGATATGTCCATTAGCCGGAACAATTGGTGCAGAGCACTTCCGGGAATGAGAGATTTCCGGGTAACGAGACGACTCTCTCAATGCAGGAAAAAAATCCCTCTTCCACGGAATTTTCCAGGTAACGGAAAAATATTCTCGTAAGTTCCAGAATGATGCATTATTTCATCTCTAAAAGCCGGAAAAAAATCACCCATTCCCAGAATTTTCCAGGTAACGGAAAAATGTTTTCAGAAGTTTCAGAAACTGCGCATTACATTATCTCTCGAACCCGGAAAAATATCCCTCATACCCGGAAATTTTCGGGCACTGGAAAATTTTTCTCAGAATTTCTGGAAAATGACCCTGATTTTCATCTCTAAAACCCAGAATAAAAATCCTTCATCCCTGGAATTTTCCAAGTACTGTACCGGGAAAATGTTCTCGGCATATTTTGAGGAAATTTCAATTCCAGCTATTGGAAAGTTCCGGGTTTGATGGATTCCGGCTAAAGGAGATACATATTGCTGTATTATTGTGGATCAGTCTGAGGCTGTGATGTATTGTGCTATTGTACTTTTTTATTTGAGTGTAATTGTTTATACCGTATATACTCGTCTATAATTCTTCCTCATTTATAGGTCGACCCTGATCTTTTTACCAAGAAATCATTAATTTATGAAATGCCTCATTTATAGGTCGACCCAAGTTTTAGAGGGTAATGGAACGGCAAAACCTTCACTAAAAACACTCTACGTCCTATAAACTGAGGGTCGCCGTGCCTGAAACACCGAGCGCCGAAGGCAAGTTGTTTACCATTATTACGACACTTTACACTGAAACGCCGGTAGTTTCAGCAAAAATATTGTATATTTCCATTCAAATATTTATTCAAGTCAATTAGGAGGGAATATTATTGTAATACAACTGAAAACCATTCGAAAAGCAATTACGGTAACATCTTTTGAACAACGAAAGAAAGCGAAAATCGATTGTTTTTGTCATGATTTTATCCCACTGTAATACGTACGTCATTTCAGTAAAAATATTAAATTTCCGTGAATGTATTATATCGAGCACAGTATGAATAGAATATCATTGTAATATAACAGTATTTTAACCGAAAACTATTAAAAAAAACGAGTAACATCTCTTGAACATCGGAAGGTTAGGTAAGTCTTTTGTTTTCGTCATGTATTTTATCCTATTTTACATTGAAATACATCACTATTCAGCAAAACTACTACAGGTTGACAACCCTTTATCCGATATTCCGAAAACCGAAAGTTTTTTTGTGGGGCTTTTTATTTTTTATTTTTTATCTATTTTTTTTTTAAACAGGGATTAGCCCACCCAGGCATAGATCACTGACCCACATCGGGGCCTGGGGGGCAAAAATGCAATAGTAATACTAATTATAATAATAATTATTCATAGTAAATAAAAATTTTAATTAAAAATACACCAAAATAAAATAATGATAATAATAATAATAATAAAATATAATAATAAAATTTATAATAATAATAACAATAATAATAATAATAATAATAATAATAATAATAATAATAATAATAATAATAACAATAATACTGTATTAATAAAATAATCATAATAATAATAATAATAATAATAATAAAGAAATACAAGAATGAAAAAAGATAAAAAGTGAAAAACATGACCTAGACCTATGAATTATTATTATTATTATTATTATATTTTCGACCTCCAGGCCCCAATGTGGGTCAGTGACTTGTGCCCAGGTGGGCTAAAAAAAAAAAAAAAAAAAAAAAAAAAAAAAAAAAAAAAATCCGAAATCCCTCTGGCCCCAAGGATTTCGGATAAGGGATTGTCAACCTGTGTTTATTTCCGAGAATATATTCATTCAAGCACAGTTAAGGTAAAATATACTTGTGATGTAACAGTTTTTAACTGAAATTGATTAAAAAAACACATAATGTCTAGCTGATACTCACCAGCTAGTGGTGCGGCGCGCATCGTTGTAAACAATATGAGGTCGAGGTGGATTACCGGGTATTATATTAAGTGTGAAATATCGATAAGGTTTTTATTACCGGTATTTTGTGTAGATCAATGGGTACTGTAATACCGTATATGATATGATAAGTTAGCCTGTGCTAAGAACTTCAACAAAGACTACTGAAAGCATGTTGTAAGGTAAGTTAGCCTATTGTAAGTTGGTGAGCTTCATCTGCTGAAGGCACTGCACAGCTTTTCATTACTAATTGGTACATATTTTGTTTCCATTGTTTACTGGCAGTAACTGGTAAATATTTTTCATGTCTAAAGCTAAAAGTTGCTCCTCGCCCTTCCCATCATGCACAGATTCAACCTAACAAAACTATTAACCATGTAGAGGTCAACCCCCAATTTTTTGCCTAAAAATTTGGTCTTAAAAACTCGAACTACACACAAATATATACGGTATTTGTAGTCCTCTTTTATTTTCCATGGTGTACCAGAAAACTACAGTACATTTGCTGGCGAGTTTAGTAAGTAAGTAAGCACTTTAAGCTTCGTCTGGTAAATATTTTGGACCTTTGGTCCCTAACCCTTATTTTGTCTTGAATTACATATCTTTTGTATTGATTTTTTTTTAAACATTCATAGTCCCTATCTTGCAAAATAACCCAAGGCTACTGTACCTTAAGAAAATTACAGTATACAAATATAGTAAAATTCACTCCACAAACCTTAATTTTTCCTAATTACTTTGTCAACTATCCAGCAACACTCAGAAGTTCCACTTCACATACACAAACACCTTCACACACACATGCATGCATACACTCACACAAGCATGCACACACACAAAAAACAAACAAAACATAAACAACATCACACACACAAAAACACAAACACCACACATATGAACACCATCACACACACAAAAATAAAACGCCATCACCCACACACACACAAAAACACGAACACCCCACACACACCAAACACCATCACACACACAAACACCATCACACACACCATCACACATGCACGCACGCAACCACACACACACACATGCACACGAGCACACACACGCACACACTGGACCACCATCAGCCAACTGTAACACAATAATTACAACTCTACTTATTTAAGTTATTTCCACTTACACATTCCTTCAGGAGTAAATCTCGCTCTCCTGCTGACTTTAATTTCGCAAGCTTTACTTTGCCCCTAATATTGTTCTCATAAATGTTCTTTCCTCAATTAATATTCCTATTGAAGCACTTTCACTGTCATTCCACTTCTTAAATGTGTTTATTATTTTCAACCGGTCTGATAAGTTTTGTGCTAATATCACATGTAAGACTATGACAAGCCATTAGTAGACCATTTCAAAATAAAACAAAACTAAAAAAAAAAATTATGAGAAAATTTGTCCGCGTTAGAACACAAAGACATTATGTTAACTGATCAAGCTGACAAGTCATCTCGTGGGTCACCACAATTCTTTCTCGCATTTGAGAGTTTGGAATTTTTCCCAAATCCTGAACATTTTCCCAACTTCCAGAAGTATGAGAGTTTACTGTGTGCAAAACCATCATTATCCGCTGACATCATTGATTAAAATGGACTAATGCAGAGTATATCTGCCTGGGTCATTTCATGAACATGCAGTTATATTAATCTTTTTAAATTAGTCAAGGTAATAACCATTATAAATCCCAAACTGTAAGCAAGTGTGTCATGTTCCAAGGAAGAACACTTTTACTGTGTGGCAAGCCAACTGTACACACAGAAAAGGAATATTCTCTTTATGAATGAATCTTTAGTATTGTCCATTCCTCATGGAAAAAAGTGATGCAATGAAATTTACTTGCAATCAATCATTATGACAAATGCATTTAAAGCCCTTGATGATTATCATGAACAAGAACAATAATCTGCATCTACCAAACCAAGACATACCTGATGGCTGAATGCCTATTATTATCAGAGGATTTTGAGGTGGCTGAGGTGTTGTTGGAGGGAGCCTTGACAGAAGTGAGTGTGACATCTCCCACACCACTTACTGCTCCTTTTGGTGCCTTCTTACTGATGCGGTGAAGATCAGGCGTGTATTCCTATAAGGAGGGAGATATGTTAACATGTGAAAGAAAGAGGTTCAACCAGAAACAGATATCACAAGATAATACAATCCATATAATCTTTAAATAACAAAACAGTACAAAGCATTGGACTTCAATTGTGGAATATATGCAGATTTGAGCCTTTCTAAGTCCAGTCATGATAAAAAAAAAAAAAAAAAAATCCAATATTTTTTTAAAGATCAGTTAGAGAAAACTGCAAGTAACTTTCAATTGAAGGTCATTGGCAGGCAGAGAAATCTACTGACCTCAAACAAAACATCCAATAAAAAGGGAAAAGAAGTATAGGTGGCGGCAAGTGAAGAAACTTTACAAGGGCAAACACTCTTTTAGGATTGAAAACACTGAGTATAATACAACTCTTAAACAGATAAATTAAAAATCAACTGCTCGATTTATATAAGTATACTTTAAACTTTATATACAGTATATAAAGGAGATTTAAAATATTTCACATTTCAGTATAATATTCACAACAAACAAATTTAGAAATCATTTGAAGGATAACTTTCACTAACAGCCAATTCCAATTTATGATACAGCATCATAAATGAATATATCCCATCAAAACATTAGAAGTAGAGCATTAATACATTTTCAGTACATTACTGAAATGTCAACTAAAGCTCAACCCATAAACACAAAATGACATGTATTGTACTGCAAGAATTACAAATAAGGTTATACAGTATGTACACTTCCTGAAAAGAGAACATCATGCTCCCACACTACGAACAGCACTACAGTAATAAGATCTACCATCAAAACTAGAGTTCAGCTTAGGTTAATAGGCCCTTACCTTGGAAAAGGTCACCACACTGGGTCATAACTTGGCAATATAATTAATTCTTACAACTAATATCTAAATCAACTACTGTACTATCATATTAGTTATAACTAATGTTATCTATTAATAATTCCTTATTATAAGTCTGTTAATACATGCATGAATGTACTGGAAGTTCTCTGAGAAAAACAACATGAAAAATATTAAACATCATTAAGTCTAACAAACTGTTTGGACCAAAAATTTGAAGTGGTAAAAAGTTGAATCACCATCACTGAAGATGTTACAAGTTTGCACGATTAAAGCTTTTTTTCTAAGGGCTAAGTAAATATAAACACAGCATCCTTTGAGAAAATTTTTGTATCTTTATGATTTCTGTAATTAAGTAACATCGTTTATGTACACATCCATATAGCTGTACACAAGTTTACCAACGCCTAGAACAACATTTGAGCTCTTATGCACATTTTCTTCTGAAATGATTCAATGATGTGACATTAGCAATAAACACAAAACTGCAATAGAGCAATATTATTGTAATGTTGCTCATATAACAGCATTATCCCTCGTATTTCGAGCTATTAAACAATTATCTCCCATAATTTTGCAATCTGTTCTAAAAGCATTATGCCAGTCACTAACAGCAACTATTGAATATAAAATAAGCACAAATGCAGCCACCCAGTTCCCATTTACTGGCAGTGAGTACCAGATACTGTGATCCCTCGGTTAACAAACGGTTCGGTTAACGAATTACCTTAAATAAGAATCTTCAATTCGGTTAACGAACAAAAATTTGATTAACGAAATCCTTACGAACATCACATTTTGTTGTGAGCATCAGCTGATGGGCTAGTCTGCCAATGCAGTAATCTGTTCTATGTTTACATTTGTTTCCAGTGGAGTAAATATCAATAGAGTTGTGCTCTTTAATATTTTTGCATTTTTTATATTAAAATTATTAGTCATTTTAACATTTATTTAACATATTGATAATATATGCAGTACAGGGAACTATTTTTTTGAGCGCCCATCAGCAGCTTGACTCAGCCACCAGGCATCAGTTGGACTTTGAAAACAGTGGAGTGAACATATATTTTGTTGGTGTCTTGAATATTTTTGCATTTTCCTTGAAATTATTGGTCATTCTGAAATTTAGTTAACATGTTGATAATATATAGAGCAGTGCAGTGTTGATTTAAAGAAAAAATCTTGAATTACACCTAGTGAACTTAAATTTTATTGGTGAAATGACGGCATCAAGCATGGGTCCACTGAAAGGTGATTTCTCCTCCATCCCCACTTCCTTCTCTTCTCCCTTCTCCTCCACCCCCACTTTTAATTCCCATCATCATCATCAACCAGGAACCTTCTATATACAACACAAAGTAAGTGTACTTTACTGCATTTTTTTTTTTTTTACTTTGTATGTACTTTTCGGTGAGCTGGAACCAATTACCCAATATCCCATTGAAACAATGGATTCGGTTACCGAAATTTTCGGTTAACGAACGACCTTCTGGAACGAATTGTGTTTGTTAACCGAGGGACCACTGTACAGTGAAGAGGTGATGTACAGGACCATATGAGGTGTTGCAAGCTAAATGTCAAGCACTATAGCAATTGAAACAATTTTAGCAATAAGCTTCTTGATAACAGCATCCATTTTAGTCATTCTATTTAATTTTGGGAACACTTCCAGTACGAAGCCCCTAGTTAATATATTGCACTAATGGGGTCTAGCATGAAGGAGGAATATGTAGTGATGGAAAATATAAACATAAAAGGGTTTATTGATGATTTCAAGGCTGTCACATATGAGTAAGTGAGGAACTATGTAAGACTAAGTGAGGGACTTCTATGTAAGACTGAGTAAGTGAGGGACTGCTACATAAGCCTGAAAAGGCGAAGGACTCCGCTGTAAAGCTGAGAAAATGGGGGACTGCTATGTAATGTTATAATTGTGTCTTGATGATGTGATTGGAGACTTTTCTGAACTTGGCTTTCTCTCTCGGGGAAAGGTTTTCCAAATGACCATCTCAAGGAAGGTATTTCCTTCCTAATGGCCATCTCATGAAAGTGGTTCTTCAAAGGCCATCTCAACGAAAAGGTTTCCAAATAGTCATCTTTCAAGGATGAGCTTTCATATGGCCATTTTTCAAGGAGGGGTTTCCATATGGTAATTTTTCAAGGCATGGGTTTCCAAACGGCTATCATTCAAGGACAGGGTTTCCATAAGGTCATCTTTCAAGATGGGTAGTTTGTCCAAATTCAAACTGAATATGCAAAATAAGATCTAATTTGTATTATCTCCCATGGAATTGGGGATATGTAAAAAGGAGAGAAAAAAGCACTACTTCAGATAAATAAAAACAAATTATGTAAAACTTCAATACCTGGGTTCATCTGCATACAAACCTGGTATCACTTTGAAAACATTATTATGTGATGAATTTATCTAGCAATGAAAAGGGAACAGAAACTGGAATGCTTTAGTACAATGAATGAAGTATAGTACAGTAATCTTATGCCTGCACTAAATGTTCAGTAGGCTATGAGATACTGAACCAAACAGGTAGGTTATGAATAATAAGCAGCAATAAGATAGGGGCTTCATGATTCTTGTTACCTAAGTCAGTGTCTGTGGCAGGGTCACATTCTATGTCAAATACAGACTTGAGAGGGGAGTAGGACAGTCAAAAGAATATGTCAAAGGTCTCTTAAAGATTTTATCTGACAATTCTAAAGAATATATACTTAGCTGGGTTGACAGCAGGGAAGTAATGTAATGGAGTAGGTGATGCATAGTAACAGATATTAGTGGCAATGTTAATAACAACTTGTGTGTTAAACTGTTGATTTTTGAAAGCTCATGTTGGATAAAAATGTGATTTAATAATAAGGCAGAACAATGGGTAAGGCAAAGATGTAGTTGCACCTAGGAGTGAAGAGTTAAGGTCATAAAACTAAACAAGGACACCAACATAATCATTCCAAGAACAGAAGCAAATACAGTACAGTTCACCTAAAGAAGAGATGGCCCTGAAATATGATGTACAGTACAAAGAATCAGATGGGACAGGAACCAAAAATCAAGGATATTTCAAAACATTATTGAAAGTCAACGAAAAACAAGAATACAGTATAAAAGTAATAAATAAAGAAGTAGACTGTCAGTGTTTAAAAAACAGATGTAGGTTGTTGATTAAGATATAAGGAACAATATGAGAGAAACAGTGAGGTGTATTACTGGCAAGTCATCGCCGACGGTGCGTTGGTTCAGCAAAGTGATGGCTCCCTCGGGGATCTGCCCACTGCGCTTGCCTTTGCTGCTAATGTCGCGGAATTCTTCTGAATATTCCTGCACGCACATGCACGGGAGCAAAAAAAGTAAAAAAAACAATGCAGGAAAAATGAAATTCAAGTCACAGTGGTGCCACACAAAGTCATGTATTGGTCCACTGGTGGTTCAAGATGACAGAGCAAAGCTGTATAAGCATTAACTACAATTTTGGAAAGCATTTATCATGTTAGTTCAAACGTCAAACAAGGTCATTATTTAATCTTGCCCTATCTCCACACATGGACGAAGGATGGTGTGTTAGCAATTAGTGCGAACGGAGACATGGCTCACCTCACTACTCAACTTACTATGGCGAGATAACAAAAATGATGCACAAGCTCATGTGGAATTTGTTAGTCCCTGGACATATTTTAAGGACTTTAGGATAGGGGTTTTGATTTAAACCACATTTGTGAAAATGATGTTGAGGCTAAAAGGAGAGAAAAGAACAGATTATTAAGTGCCTTTTAAAAGACATACAAATTTCTTCAAAGTTCTTACTTGCACCTAGTGTTAACGTGTATGTTGTTATTATTATTATTATTACGATTATTTTTTTTCAAAAGCTCTTTCCCACTTAATGCTGGGTGACTGGGGTAAATACAGACATGCACAAACACACACATACATGGTCCATCTACTTATTGTCATTCATTCATTCTTACTGCACCAATAAATGTGTTCTACTCCATAATAGTACTCTCTCCTTCCACAACAAGGCCCCAAATATTGTAATTATGAATACTGCAACTATTTACAAAATGTGTTAAACTTCATTACTAATGCACCTGATTTCTAACAGAAAATAATTCCATGCATATGAAACTGTATAGAATAACAATATTTGTTAAGCTTTGTATACCCAAAGTCCAGAGGCAGGTCACAGTGACAACTACAATGTGGGTATATTAGCCCCTCAATGTTAGAATAGATAATTTTAAATGTATTAAACAATGACTAAATTGACTTACAACACCATTCCATTTCTCTAGTAAATAGTTTCAGTGTACCGAAGTGTTTCTGGAGATTGGGCAAGTTCCACTCACACAGTAACACTAGTGAACTGGGGATTAGTCTACTACAACCATATAATAACATTAAAATATTAAAACATTAAACTACTCATGCAAACTTCAAACATTATAACCAACATGAAAAACTGTCATTGAAGCGATCATCAGCAAATGATCACAGTAAAGTGTCTGCATGCCATTATTATAACACAAAATTTATATGGTGCAAAATGCAGTGCAATATAAGCACACACAAAGTCTACTTTTAAGAAAGCAAATTTACAATAAAATTTGGCAAGCTGAGAGCAGATTACTGACATGGAGTGTGAGTGAGGGCTTAACATCAATGGTAATAACCTGTCATATGTCACTCACCCTGCATTGGTAATTAATAAAATTTTCATAATTCAATGTTTTTACAGTATAAAATAATTTAAACAGCATTTTCTTTTTTATTCAAGAACTACAGTATCTTCTATATTAACATGTTACCATAAGCTATTACAGAGCACCAATTCAGTTATATCAGCTCATCAGTAAACCAGGTAAATGTAAGAGACTCAGGTGATGCTGTCTATTGAAGCATTTATAAAACATAGTGACATTTACTCTAATGGTATCATTCTTCAGTCTCCCAAATGACAATTTTTTCTTATTATCATAAAGAACAAATACTTATACACAAATCACACACTTAATGTCACCTGTGTGTCTATGTGTGATGCTTTTACAAAATTCTTGTTGGTATGGTGCAAGGTTGCAGGACTGGTGCTGATCCCCTGATTCTTAACATTCAGTAGCTATTGGATTAGCCATCCCATCAGTAGGATGCTAGTCCACTGAATTTGCTCCACCATCAATAAAGGCACCAAACAGAGTTCATACATTGGTGAGTGCAGAAGGATAAATTTTTCATCTGTCAAACAGAGCATCATCAACATGAGTCTATTACACCAACTAACAGTTGATGCCCAAAACACATCATAAAGCAAAATTTTTATAAAGAAGACTACAAACATACCTCAAACGAGGGCCAGTTCATCGGCATATTAACTCCATGATTGTTGCTCCACCATTTAAGATCTTTTTCATAGTCGGCATTTGCTACTGTGTGGTTGAATTCCTCATAGATTCGCGGTAAACTAAAAGATAAATCAAATTATATAGTAACAGAAAAAATAAATACAAATCTGGTTTATCTGGCCTTTTTAACATTAATATGGTCTTTATATACTGTACAGCAAAATCCTGTACAGTATTTACACATTATATAAAGTGAAAAAAATTTGAAAAAATTATATATATATATATATATATATATATATATATATATATATATATATATATATATATATATATATATATATATATATATATATATATATATATATATATATATATATATATATATATATATATATATATATATATATATATATATATATATATATATATATATATATATATATATATATATATATATATATATATATATATATATATATATATATATATATATATCACACCTATACAGTAAACCCTTGCTATTTATGAGGATTAGGTTCTAAGGAATGGGCAAGAATTGGCCAAACCGCTAATAGCAACTTATACTCCCTTAGTGCACTACTGTATACCTATACTGTGTATGAGAAACAAAGTCACCAATCCTACTCTCCTTTGTATGTAGAAGTTTGGAGCTTGATGAAGTGGACTGTACAGTAGGATGAAATCTGGTTAGTGAAGCATAGGGAGATCATCAGGATCACTGTTGGAAGAGGGTGATGGAGTAGTGGTTGGTGGAGAAGCAGGTGGTGGAGAGGCATGTGATGGGGAGGTGGGTGGTGGGGAGGTGGGTGGTGGGGAGCTGGGTGGTGTAGCGGTGGCAGCAGTTGAACGAGTAGGTGAGGGAGATGAATCAGCTGGGCAAATGGTTGGTTCTTTCTTGAAAAACATCGTGATTGGTAGTTGTTTCCTCTTGGCTTTGAGGTCTTTCAACATTTCACTCCAGTAGCACTGACACTAGGTAGTCTTTTAGGGGCCATTTCCCACAAACACTAAAGTTTTGAGTACAACACAAGAGATGCTGTGTTGCAGGCAATGGTTGAGGGCAAATAAAGGGAGAGGAGGGAGAGGAGACACTGTGGGCGGGTGGGGCTAACTCGTTGCATTGCGGGAGAGGATCGTGAGCTCGCCACCATCTGCTTACCGCGAATAGTCAAAATCGAGATTCACGAACCCGCGAATAGCAAGGATTTACTGAAGTGCCATTTTGCTAAAAATTTAAGATATGTAATTACCTCATAAGAGACAGTTAAGAAGAACAGCAAGACTTTGTGTACACCCTTACCTTATAAACAGTTTGCATTAGGCTTACCTTGGATCATTAGATATATTGAGGCATTTGTGTGTGGCAAAAAGCATGTCTTTAAAGAAGATTAGCCTCTTAGATTCTGCTTCCTGTGCCTTGTCAAACACATGTGTCATTTCCTGAAAAAAATAAAAGTATTAAATATAGTCACAGCTCTGAAACAGTCTTGAATAATATTTCATTATGGAGGAAATTACCAGAAAAACAGAAGACTTTTCACAATAGATGCCAAACAAAGGATAGAAAGTAAAGGTTGAATTGTGCCAATAAAGTTTTACAAGATACCTGACAGAGGAACCGAAACAAATTTGATAAACAATAATGGCAAGTTTGGGGAAGTAAAAGATATCCCTGTTAAGCTTACTTACTAGTCTTCCAAATATTAATGTAAGCAGAATTGTATTAAAAATATTCTGTATGATGAACATAACATTTGTTAGTCCTACCTTATCAACACATGCTCTACAAATCACCCAAATTATTCTGTTAAATACCATTCTTTGAAATTCAAATGTATCTTTCTATTTCAGTATCAAATGGTTTGTTTCCAACCTCTAAATGACAATGGTGCTTTCAGATTTAATATCTTACAAATTTCCTTACTGTGCTCCTAAAGCACTACCAAAAGGATATAGAATGATTTATTTCCTTTTTATTTATCATTCCTCTTTAAACTTATTAGCAAAATCATGTAAAAATCACCAGTAGTTTCTATTTACATCTGGATGATGTAATACAATTGTCCAACTCTTGTACTGTACATAAACCCATATCAAGATCAGTGCATGTCTTTTTTTTAGAGGCGATTACAGAGAAGGTTCATAAAAAATAAGTTTCCTACACACACAGACACACATACCCCGGTACACACAAGTATGCATGTATCCACAGCACAAGGCTCTGCTCATGTTAGTCATCAACACCTTACTAACTCTGAGAACAAAACGAATCTGTAGCATATCTGTACATATCTTGAGTAATATATTAATGATCTCAAAAGATTTCTATTTCACAGGTAAATTTGCCTTTAGTTTAAGGCAAATTGGAAATGGGTGTATTTCGTCTATCATGATTAATTTGCAAACTTCAATTATTGTGAACATTTTTTAAGTATTCCATTCTGATGTTGAACTGGTCCCTCAGTTAACAAACGGTTCGATTAATGAAATTTCGGTTGACGAATTACCACCCAAAAGGATCTTCAATTCAGTTAAAGAATAAAACTTCGATTAACGAAATCCTTACGACAAACACGTTTTGTTGTGAGCATCAGCTGATGGGCTAGTCTGCCAATTCAGTTATCTGTTCTATGTTTACATTCATTTCCAGTGGAGTAAATATCAAGAAGGTTGTGCTCTTTAATATTTTTGCATTTTTTATATTAAAATTATTAGTCATTTTAAAATTTAGTTAACATATTGAAAATATATGCAGTACAGGGAACTACTTTTATGTGCGCCCATCAGCCGCTTGACTCACCCACCAGGCGTCAGTTTGGCTTTGTTTACAGTGGAGTGAACATCGATTTTGTTGGTGTCTAAATATTTTTGCATTTTTACATTAAAATTATTGGTCATTCTGAAATTTAGTTAACATATTCATAATATACTGTATAGCGCAGTGCAGTGTTGATTTAAATAAAATAATCTTGAATTACACCTAGTGAGCTTAAAAATTTATTGGTGAATTTACTGCATCAAGCATGGGTCCCCTGAAAGGTGATTTCTCTGTCATCCCCACTTCCTTCTCTTCTCCCTTCTCCTCCACCCCCACTTCTAATTCCCATCATCATCATCAACCAGGAACCTTCTACAAACAACACAAAGTAAGAGTGCTTTACTACATTTTTTTTTACTTTGTATGTACTATTCTGTGAGCTGAAACCAATTACCCAATATCCCTTTGAAACAATGGATTCGGTTAACGAAATTTTCGGTTAACAAACGACTCTGTGGAACGAGTTGTGTTCGTTAACTGAGGGACCACTGCATATTTTTTAATTAGAAATTTTTAACACAATAAATTCAAGTCATTACAACACTTAATATTCATGGTATGGGTATAAGATTCTGCATGGGGTATCATAATATTGTGGTGTTTGGTGTTACACCTCACATTTTCATATTCACAGAGACTTGCAGCACGAACACTGAAGTGTTTTACAATTCTACATCTTCCAGTTAACGTTAAGACAAGTTATGAACCCACAGTAACATACTTCATGTACTGTACTCGTACTTTACTCTGCCAGGGTGTACACAAGACTGACCTCTAAGTATTTGGGGTTGTAATCGGAGATTTCTCGAAGACAGATTTCATATTTTTCCCGCCCTCGTGACACCTCTTCCTTGGCTTTGGATACACGATCCTGGAGTTTCTTCACCTGAAATAACATGGATTATTACGTAAGGGGTTTTCATTAATAAAAACAATACACTACAGTATTTACTACAAAATTTTTTAAACCTCTTCAATATTTGTATTTAAATAATTTAAATATCCAACACAAGTGTTATTATAAACAAAAGTTTTCTTCAGACTTAAGCATTCAAACACCTAGATTAAGCTTTATAATATTAGTTTACAAAATGCAAAAAGGATGTGAGTAAATGTTTAATTTTTTAAGTTTCTCCATTGCATTCATACTACTGTACCAGTGAAATACAAGTCACATAAACCTGATCATTATTACTTCTTTTAAGAACATTTTCATATTCCTTTTTCTGATTGTGATAAATCATATACTTTAGTTGTTGATAAATATAATCCAAAACTTACTGTTACATCAGAACCACCATTAAATATGATATTCTTAAATCAGATTGATTATATTCTTCAATTAAATTCTGTAATCATACAATTTACTTAGATTAACATGAAAAGGATTTATTTATATAGAAGATCTTATTCACATACTGCACTGTACAGTATTTCAAAGTTCAACTTTCGGTATAGCTAATTTGGGACACTGTACAATGGGCAGTCGTCAACTTAACTCGCAAAATCATATCCTGTTTGCTGATGTCGAGAAAAAGATTTTCTTATATCTCCAACACATCTACTAATGCCAAGAAAATTCTGCGATAAACTTTACAGTGATTAAATTGTACTCCTCTTGTGAGTGACATACTGTATATTGTGTGTACTTTCATGTAAGTGCTACAACAGCCAGATTAATGTTTATATATTTCTTTTACAAGCATTACTGACACCATTGGAGTTCTCTTCTCTACACATTAATAAAACACTTTTCACAGTACTTTAACAAGCAACAAATTTCCTATGAATGTTCTACAGCAGCACTTACAGCAAGCAGTACACTTTGATTTACATTCTTTAGAAATTGGGTACAGTACTTTTCTTGTACTTCTGTAACATCTACATTATGTGTGGCAATTCTACAACAAATAAACAAGTTCTACATCAATGAACAAACTCTACATAACTTGGTACATTTTACGACACTAACTGCAACTTTTATGAGGACATTAAAGGGTCCTATCTATTGTATATGAATTTATGGCAAGGATGATACATTAGAGAGGCTTCTAAAACAGTACTGAGATTGTGAGGAAAAAGGTCCTCATAAATGGGAATCATTACGTTATATGCTGTAGGAGGCTCAAAACACACCTGTTAGAGGAGTTAAAATTCAATCACCCAAATGAGAATTTAAAGCATAACAAATAAACACACATATCTCAGAGAGAGAGAGAGAGAGAGAGAGAGAGAGAGAGAGAGAGAGAGAGAGAGAGAGAGAGAGAGAGAGAGAGAGAGAGAGAGAGAGAGAGAGAGAGAGAGAGAGAGAGAGAGAGAGAGAGAGAGAGAGAGAGAGAGAGAGAGAGAGAGAGAGAGAGAGAGAGAGAGAGAGAGAGAGAGAGGGAGAGGAGAGAGAGAGAGAGAGAGAGAGAGAGAGAGAGAGAGAGAGAGAGAGAGAGAGAGAGAGAGAGAGAGAGAGAGAGAGAGAGAGAGAGAGAGAGAGAGAGAGAGAGAGAGAGAGAGAGAGAGAGAGAGAGAGAGAGAGAGAGAGAGAGAGAGAGAGAGAGAGAGAGAGAGAGAGAGAGAGAGAGAGAGAGAGAGAGAGAGAGAGAGAGAGAGAGAGAGAGAGAGAGAGAGAGAGAGAGAGAGAGAGAGAGAGAGAGAGAGAGAGAGAGAGAGAGAGAGAGAGAGAGAGAGAGAGAGAGAGAGAGAGAGAGAGAGAGAGAGAGAGAGAGAGAGAGAGAGAGAGAGAGAGAGAGAGAGAGAGAGAGAGAGAGAGAGAGAGAGAGAGAGAGAGAGAGAGAGAGAGAGAGAGAGAGAGAGAGAGAGAGAGAGAGAGAGAGAGAGAGAGAGAGAGAGAGAGAGAGAGAGAGAGAGAGAGAGAGAGAGAGAGAGAGAGAGAGAGAGAGAGAGAGGAGAGAGAGAGAGAGAGAGAGAGAGAGAGAGAGAGAGAGAGAGAGAGAGAGAGATTGTATCGTAACTGGAAATTCCAAAAATCTTTTGAAAGTTTTGGGGAAAGTGTGACTACCATTATATTTTCCTTTCATTTGAGGCATCATAGTGCTTTGAGACAACACCAGTTTCTCATAAAAAATAAATGAATCTATAATAAAATAATAATAAGTAATCATTTTACTAGCTGTTGTTTAAGCCAAAATAGGAGGGATCATGACTATAAACAATGACAGTTCACAATTATGCATAAGTATAAACACCGAGGGGTCACAACTATAAACAACAATGGGTTGTGGAACCAATAATTTTAATACATATGATTGTATCATAATACTTGATTCCAAACTATATTGAACCTCAAGAATTCAACTCATTAATAAGGGTAAAATCCACAAAATAGTTTCAATATTTCAAAAGACAGAGAATTTGAGGGTAATATACAGAATAAAAAAAAAAAATTGTAAGCATAAATAATTAAACAAAATAAAGTATAATTGATGTCATCAGTTAAAAAATAAGAAAACCAAACAATCAAAGAGCAGAGAGAAACAGATGAAATTGTACATTTCATTTGTCGTCATATCCGCATTCATGCATGAAGTGTTGAGAGCTTTTCTGGTCACCGAGAGGAATGATGGGGATGATGACAATTAATATCTGCCATCTTTGATATATATATATATATATATATATATATATATATATATATATATATATATATATATATATATATATATATATATATATATATATATATATATATATATATATATATATATATATATATAAACACCAATGAACTTTAAAAAACATTGAAAACAGTTACAAAGTTTCTTTCAACAAAAACTATTACTCATTAAAACAGAGCTAAAAAGTTAACCATGATTATTAAGTGATTTGTGTCTCATGAAAATACAACTTTAATGTCAGTTCCCTTATTTATAGTCTCAGTGACCACAAACAAACTCACAACTTCCAAGAAGCCTCATCTACCTCCACTGACACTCAACATAGCTAGTGTCTGTGGCTGAACCTCCAAGAAATTTTATGTTACATTAATTTTTGTTTTTAATGATAAGAATCTTTATTAGAGCACAGACAAAATTTATCTGAATGGTATATAAGTAAAGAATACGTATAATAAACATTGGGTCATTCTCTGTACAATGACAAACAGAATCTTTCTCCAACACTGGATAATAACTATGTGTACACATTCAAAACATGTGATAAAGAATTCTGTATAATGCCGGGTGGTCAAATTAAGCTATGGTAGCCCCCCAAATTATAGGAGTATTAAATTTATGAACGAGGTAATTTTTCAACAAAATGTATCATCAAAAACACATAAATTGTGGATATGAAATATTATTAATGATTGAGTCTTATAATAATTGTACATAGATCCCACAGATGAGGTCAACACAGGTTCAGCTACTATATATGTCAAGGTCAGTGGAACAGATGAAACACCTTACTGAGGCCAGAATTCCAAAAACTTATAATTGAATAGAAGAGCTTAGTTTCCAAACTCTTGCTTGAGGATTTATTATCCTTTTTTGTTGTTGACTATACTGTACAAAGAATAAGCAGATAATTCAGAATGAGGCCTCGCAAGTATTCACCTCTCTTTCAGATCCTCTCAGAATTCGGGCCCAAGTGTCCATATGACTAGAGTGAGCGTGAGAAAAAAGGGGAAACTAATTCAGACAGTGAGGGTTCATCCACTCACTCCTGGCACTTCACTCATACCTTCATATTGTTGTGCTGTTCACACCAGAGGGGAAAAAAAGAAAGTAATTTATTCTAGGGTAAACGTAAAAGATCCTGCATTTATCGTATACACTACAATATACCGTATACATAACTATATACTGTAATGGGTGAAGAGAGCAACTTATGTGAGTTATAGTACTTCCAAATGAACAATTATGATACCCAAAGAGTGTATCTAGAGTTAACACACAAATTATATAATCATGAATGAAGATCAAAATAATCATCCTTTTCATTAGAATAGGAGCTTATACACATCATGAATGTAAAAAAAAAATTCTTCAACTCATGATATAAATTTTGTATAATGGCAGTGAATCACAATAAAAATGGATGGTTGAATGTAAAAACAACAATAATTAGGAGAAGATACCAACAACACTGAACAGCATGTCAAGAGGAGAGAAATATGTCATGCTCCTAAGTGGTCATCACAACACAGCCCAACTCACAAACAATGATCTCTTCACAGCCTAGCCTAATATTATATTCCATTCTATTTTGTCAAAGATGGTTAAGCTAAATTAGAGGATGGGTTTATCTTTGTACTTATATGCAGTATACTGTACAATGGATATCAATGCAATTATCTAAAGATCATAAAAAGTCATTACAATTTCTATTACTGACAATGTCATGTCATTATACACTTAAAACTGTGGTAAATACTAATCCTATATTATTTCTGCAAATAATTTACCATATAAGCTACATTAAATACATTCTACCATCTTACAGCAGCTATTAATAATTCTCAAAATCAACATTATAATGCTCCATCACTTACCAACTGGAATCTCTGTCAGACAAAAATTTAATTAATAAATACCATTTATTGTTAGACATGCAAAATTATTAGGAAAAAATAAAGTGTTCTGACACATGACAAAAATCTTTCTACTCAGACACATAGTGCACACACAGTAACACTAGTCTTCTATCCAGAAAAAATATTACACAAGCTTCCCTTAACTTCTGCACAACAATCATCTTAACTATACATTGACAAATTGATCTACAGTCAGTTTTGCCCTTGGTCATGTCAATTACATAACTTTACTTAATTTTACTTCAAAAGATTCAATGAGATGTGAACATCAAATCTGAATCTAAACTCTACAGTATATATTAAAAGATGGAATAAAAGCTTCCATTTTTTAATGTAGGATTAACATTCCATAGTTAAATTTTGTCACCATCTTCCTAATATCCCATAAGTTTCACAAGAAAAAATATGAGGAGGAACAATGGCCAAACACTATGAAGAGCTGAGGGCTGACAAACATATCGCAGAACACAAAGAACTGTTTTTAAAAGTTAGATGGAGTGGGCAGAGCAGAACCAGTCAAAAACAAACATTAAAACAAGAGTAGGAAGGGTGAGGCCAGATATATGATATACCTGGTTTCCACATTTCATGACCATATGCAGCCATCTTTAACTAAAACAAGAGGTGTATGAGGCAGGACTGTCACATACATTCATACATCTTCTGATATACCTGTAGTACTGTATATATATCTTTTTTAATCAAAAGAACTTTTGTATAGTCTTCCAAACTGTTCAGTTAACATGCTTTTGTGCCAAGCTGGTGATTTATGATCAGTCAGTATGATGGGGGAATTAGGGACCAAAATGAACAAACAGTGAGATGCTGCATATTAAGGCCTACCAGAACTATTATGCTGTTTTTCTTTTGTTCCTGAAACAGAAATACAGTAAAAACAAAAATACTATATAAACAACAAACACTAAATATACAGTTTCCTACTTTTAAAACTTTAAAAAAAGCATTACGAATTATATAGTAATGCAAGAAAAAAAAAGTCTTCCGCTATAGACCGCAGAACATGTAATTAAAACTTTACACACACACACAGCCACACACAAACTGCACTGCAATAAGAAAAAGATCAATGTGGCATCCTGCAGGATGCAAATTTACATCATCGTTATTGCTGGTGATCCAAAGATTATTATCATGTTCTTGCATTTCAGTTCACTGAGAACCTATCCCCCTAAAAAAAACTCAGTTTTTTCATGACACATTGTGCCCACAACTCCACAGATGGTTAAATTTTTACCTACTACAGTACTAAATGTCACTGGATAAAATTTCTTAACAATTATAAGCCATGGCTACTACATTTATATCCCTAACTGAGAATATTGAAAACTTCTCTTAATCAAAGAAAATGGTGTGACTTTGACAGATGACTACTGCATCACTTCCATTTAAGGTTGAAGCATGTCAAGGGAAGTAAAGGAAGAGAATAATACTGTACCTGTATACGGCTTTAATATAAATGGGTAAAGTCCACCACATAGAAATATTAGTAACTTCCAGAGGACATATACTGTACTGTATTAACTTTAAGGAATATACAGCACTTTAAATTAATTTAAACATAAAGCCAATGAGGTCTCACTATCTATCTGATATGGCAAATGATGATGTTAGACACTACATTGCAAGGGAACCATTCAGTACACATTTCTACAAAATTCCATCAAACTCAAGCTGGAAGCTTTAAAACCTTGAAAATGAGATATCTGAAGTAAGATGGATGAAAAACAACTCGCCACAGTAAGTGACCACCTGGATGAACTAAAAACATTTCAAACTAGACAGTATTGAGATTGTTTTTTCTTTAATTAAAATGAATAACTGTACAACATATACAGTAGTTTGTCTTGAATTAATCTACATTATCGTTCTGCTTAAGTTTATTTTTTTACATACCTCACCGAAGTGGTTTTAATTCATTTCAGCAATATATACGTACCTATACTCTTACACACCCACCTTCACAGGGCACAATCATCCCAACCTAAAGCAGTAAAATATAATGCTGCTACACAGATAAAAGCCAAAGACAAGATATGATCAGCAAGATAATTTTGAATACAGTAGTTTAATAACCAGTGCCAGGATTACTCATGCATCTTTACAGACATGGCTTCCTAATTTTCTCACAAAGAAAGTGTAAATTTAGCCCAATAAAAATTAATTTACAATGTGCTGTCTAACATTAACTTCACAAAAATAGCCGCCAGATTAATTGTGTAGCCAGACTAACATCAGCTATATAAGGCATGTTATACACATTGTAGAAATAATCAGACAAAAGTATTCCTGTATACACTGGCAGACAAAGTTAAGGAAAGTAATAAATGCCAAAGTAGGAAACCAACGATGGACGGATCATGGCACTTGGCCCTATGTTGGTCTATGTAAAAGAAATGTTGATAAATCCACAATAATCTGACATCCTAATATTCATGCTCTTGGTATTCAAAACACATTAATAATGAATGTTTCTGCATCAGAGGCCACAGAGCCATGACCTTACCTGGTCAGGAGAAATTGAGGAGTCTCCTCCAGCATTCCTCTCTTGGTTCTGTGCCGACCGTTCATTCTTACAGGCATTATGGTAATCAGCTCGGCTCTTGTTAACCTTCTCGAAGAGTTTGGCCCAGGGTTTCTGTGCTTTTTTGAACATATCTTCAATATCTTTTTTCTCTTTTAGCTGCCCCATCATAGACTGGAAAAAAAATGGTTACATAACAATACATACGGATATACACATTTTCCTTCATTCATTCTTATAACTGTGTTCTACTATGGAATTCCCCATCCACAACATGGCCCTGAATATATAACTGGAATATCCATGCTGTATTGAATATCTTACTGTTATCATCGATGAATTAGTCTTAGAAGTAGTTACTATATTTATAAGTTTGACCATCAAACTGTAGTGTTTCCCAAAGTTACTAGTTTAAAGTGAGAAGACAATCATAAATGGCTGGAAATGGCATTTGATAATAGGAAAAGATAAACGTATGGAGATTTTCCTCAGTTTTGCTTACAACGGTGGAATATGAATGTTAAATATAAAGTAATCTATATAGAAGAAATAAATACAGTACTTTAAAATATCAAATGCTCAGGTAGTTCACTTAACAAATAAAAATAAATACATACTGTATACATGTACATACATAATTCCCAAATGCTGAAGAATATAAAATAATAGAACTGCTCTGCCCATAGGAGCATCATACATCCAAGACCCAGGGACAGTAAACAAATAAGTTTCAAGTACTGGTGTTCCTCAATACAGAGAACCCTGAGTTTAAGAAATTTGTGTAAATTGAATCCAGAAAGCATGGAACGGTTTCTGAGATAAAGAAGAATAATTCACATTAATGAAAAATCTTCCAAAATTTTCCAGTTTAAAAAAGTGGATTAACTTTTATACTAAACCTTGCCAATCTCTGTTATTTCACAACACATAAAATAAATTATAGTACTGTATTTGTAAACTAAAATTACATAAATAAGTAAGTGTTGCAGCCACCTTGACAAACTGGCAACGAGAAGAAGGACGTCACTCTCCATAGCTTCTCACAAGTTCAATTATGATTACAGTACAGAACTATATTTATCTCTACATATAAAATTTATTATCTAGTGGAGGATATTAAAATGATTTTAATGTAATTTTATTAAGTTCTTCAATAAAAAACTCATGCAAGCCTTGTATTTGCTTTTTACAGGTACAGTTATGTTTCAGTCTCTTCTTTCTCCCCAATATCAGCATTAAAAATTTAAGTACTGCACTGTATTAGGTTACTTGTACTGGTAGTCCTCACACAATACAGTACGAATTCACGTGTGAATTTCCTCCTTATGAGAGGCACCAGCAAGAACCTTCTAGATGCTTTTTGTTTTAATGTAATAATAAAGGAAAAAATAACAGTACGTGGTGGTCAGTTGATGTATGGCCGTGAAAAAGATAACACGCACATGCCTGTCAGCAAATCTCTCATCTCAATACTGTACACATAATTCTTTTATGTATTCTTACATTCTTATTATTGTTTTAAAGTCATCAGAGTGGTACAGTGTATGTGGTGGTGGCAAGTTGTCAGATGACTCCCCTTTTAGCTGTTCAGAAGTGTACACACTCATGCCTCTCAAGTGTATTTAGCAATATTTGTACCGTACAGGTACGGTATATATTTTAATTTTGATTTATAAGTAAGTAAGAGAGAGTTAGTGAGTGAGTGAGTGAGTGAGTGTGTAATTTTATTGGAAGATTTACATAAATGCAAAGCTAAGTATTGTAATTTTCAAATTGCATATGCAAAACTACTTTTCCAAAAGAAATAAAAGTCTAGGGCGTCATTGTCATACAGCAGGTTTCTGGGGGGGAAATGTTTGGCCTCAGGAACTCATCTCTCCTTTTGAGAGTCTATGGGGAAATAGGTGTCGTGTTATAAAATTTCTCGCTACGGACAAATTTTCAAGACCGTAAACCTCATGCAACTCAGGGGATCACTGTACTGTACAGGGTTTATGTGTAGTGAGAGGTAAAGCAGTCTATCATATATTTTTCTTACCTTATGGTACTTCTCCCTCTGCCACAGTTTAACATTACTGTGGACATCGTTAATAAGGTTTTCTTTGACACGCATGTGAAGGTCACATCTCTGCTCTGACTCCATCAGTACACCCTTCCAGGCTGCCTCAGTCGTGCCATACTCGGGACCTGTTCATCAAGTACCCATTAATGTAATGATATGCAGTACACCCAGTGATATACCTGTTAATACAGTACAGTATATAAAGTACACTCTTTGATAACATAAACAGTTAGCTACAGGTAATACACTGCACTGCATAATTTATGTCTAAAGTATCATTATAATACTGTACACACAAACTTGAGTGGCAACAGTGACCAGCCTGTACAGTGCCTTACCTTTTTCTATTATGTTGTTCCACTTCTTGGCCCACTCTTTAAGGCTCTTTGCATACATTTTCTCAATTTCTGCTCTTTCTGATACTAATTTCATCAGGTCATCACATAGTCTGTTTCCATCTTCGATTCTTTTTGTTGTTCGTTTGAAATTGCCCACCTGAGGAAAGAGTTAATAGTACAGTATTGCAATGTATAAAACTTCTTGTGCACAGAAGGAAAATTAATGTAAAGTGTACAGTATGCATGCAATGTTTTAAAAAGCACCTTTCTTCTATATAATAATAATAATAACAATAATGGATGCCCCTCGAAATCGAGGATGGCCGGCCCTAGGGCCACCTATGCGTAACCATTACCCCGGAACACGATCCACAAATCGATTAACATCCAGGTTCCCAATTGCTGCTGGGCAGACAGAGGCAAATGGCGTAAAGAAATTTGCCCATAGTTTCACCATGCCCGGGGATTGAACCCGGGTCCACTCTAATGCAGAGATACTCTCTTCATTTTCAATCATTCAAATACCACTACTGTAAAGGTGCAGTACAGTACAGGTACTCTATGATTAATATAATAACGGTTTCTGTATTAATTACATGTAGTACAGTACTTTTTATGTGCTTAAGTCAAATACTGTAACTATTCTCAACTGATTTTCAGTGAGGTGCATTACACTTTTTTTAATGAAAATTCCTTACTACTGATAAAGATACAACAGATTAAGTAAAAATATTCCACACACACACATATACAGCAGTATATGGTACTCATCAAAGATTAATAATTTACAAAGCACACATGGGTTTACAGTTGCTATTCTGGTGTATCAATCATTGAATAAATCAATATTTATTATCCTGCATATTGCTAGTAAAATATTTGTGTTGAACAAATTACTGTACAGTGTAACATAAAAGACCAGGAAACTACTGTACAGTATATCATATTAACTAAAATTCTTGAATTTTTAAGAAACGAATACTGTACATATATTCTTGAATGAATTTTTGTGATACTGTAGAATATACATTTATTCTAATTCGTTGTAAAGGAAGGAATAACAATTAAATATGTAGCTAGGGAATAATTTGTTGGCAAACCACTATATCAATTAAAATTCCTTGACTTTCAATACATTCAAAATTAATTATTTGATATCAACTCCTCAAAAATAAAACATTTCAGCTAGTAATATTAGTGAAGAGTGGATCCTCTGGGAGTTAACTGTACAATTAGTGTTTTATATAAAATAGTACTGTACAGTGCTGTACTGCCATGAGCCTATGGGAGAGTGGCACCTGTCAACACAACAGGTAAGGTCAATATACAGTACAGTATTACAACTGCTAGATGAACGTCAGCACTGGTCACTGTTACAAACAGCGAGGGACAATTCAACTCCTAAATGGTATCTGGAGAGGCTTGGTAATGTGACTCACCTCCCAGAAGGAGTCTGTGGAGGCATAGACGGCATTTTCATCACTGTGGTGCGACATGGTGTCAGTGATGTGGCCACCCTACTGATCTACTGCCACCTTCCTGCCTCCTCCTACTGCTACTGCTGCTGCTGCGCCCAGGGGAATCTTTTTCACGCACTCTCCTGCAACACAACACAAAATTAATACAACATCTATTTAGTTAGTCAATATCATTTTGTAATGTCAATATCACTACCAACATCCTGTAACATTTAGTTGGTCAACATCATCCCTGTGCAATATCAAGGTGTCTGTATTGTATAATTATATCACATTACCATCAGCATTACTTGACACAAGACCACATTCATAATAATAGACGGCACTATCATTGTTAGAACACATCACAACAAATATTACGAATTGATGTCTTTAAGTCTTAAACGAAGGTCACACAGTGCGCCAGGGGTTAAACTCCTTAGGATTTGGCACTACCTGGGACAATTGCCCTCCGACAACTGCCACCTGGACAACTTCCCCATGGGACAATTGCCCCCCCCATTGCCTGAGAGAATCTTATGTACAGCTGACCAAAGACCTGACCTAACTTAACCTAGCCTAACTTTAACTTAACATAACCAATTATTTAATATTAAATATGACTGATCCACAATTTCTTTCACTTAACCACAATTTTTTATCAATGTTTTTCTAATTACAGATTTGTAGTGATAAAAAAAGTACGAGTTGTGCATTTTGTGTATATATAATTATTACTACAAATAAAACATGAAAATAGAGCATTAATTCTTAGTGTTATTTTCTCCTCTCTATTCAGTTAGTTCCATGTTTTGTGCCAGTTATTCACTGGCAATGGGGGACAATTGTCTCGGGGAGTTGTCCTAAGGTTGGGGGGGGTTGTCCTATGGGAGGCGGGTGTCCTATGGGGCAGATGTCTATGGGAGGGTTGTCCTATGGGGCAGATGTCCTATGGGGGCAGATGTCTTATGGGGGGCAGATGTCCTATGGGGGGCAGATGTCCTGATACAGAATAATAGAGTACGTGTCTACAGGAAAGTCACCTTCTCCTAAAGCAGAGATTAGCGACTACTTGACGCTATCTTTCACAATATATCCCCAACCACCACACCAACAAACACACGTACACTAACACAAATACTCATGTACCTTGCGTAAGACATCCTCACAATAACACACCCAGCGTCCGTACAATTAGACGCATACCCAAGTGTAAAGATTAAAGTGTACAAGTCGAGTATTTTAGCTGACAGTACCGAACAGTTGGTACCTTAACCCAGAGAAGATTTAAAGAATACCCAGCTGTGTATTAGTTATAAATACCGCACTGGAATCACCATTATTATAAGATAAAATAAAGAAATAAACATTAAGAAAAATACACAAAATAACAAATAAAATAAAATAAAACTGAGTAATTTCCTGACGATTGGTATCAGTGTAGAGACAAACAAAAGAAACACTATAGTCTTCTTTAATAACCACTAATTCTTCACAACACTGTTCACAAGGTAATGTCTTCGTCTTCACATACGGAATTATCATTTCGAATATATAATCAGCATACTACCAGTGTACACTTGCACAAAAATTATCATCAGTTGTCCCCTACTAGGATTGATCTTGACAGTCTGAGCGGAAATGATCGACTGACTGTCTGACTCCTATACCGCTCGAGGGTGTTTAAATGGGCCTGTCAAACGCCTCTAGCACCAAGCAGAACGCATGTGTGGTTCTAAAACGTTCTACTCGGATCGAGGCATAGAATAAGAGGCATAACAACATGTTTTAGACCACTAATGATATTTATACCTTTTACGTACCGTATAATATACACCTATTAACACGCCACCACTAACGGCCATATTATTAAACAACATCTACCCCTTCCAACGAAGAATCTTTTCGAAGGTATTGGTCCATCAAGCGGTATTTTTAAATGCTCGAACCTCTTCCACTTGGTGCGGGATGAGTTTTTTTAGGTCTGGTAATACTGTCTCCGTCGCTGATGCATTATGGGTCCTGTGTGTGTTTGTTTACCTTCGTTGGCGCCAAATTTAGTATTGTAGCAGCTCTTGTCAAGGATATGTTTTCCTCCAAAGTCTCCCGGGCAAGTCCCATATCACAGAGAGAGCGGGATTTCTTAGTATATTTGATTGGAGAGGAGAGAATATTGCAAAATAAAAGTACTTGTGGGATGCTTGTTACACTAAATAAACAAGCATGGTTACGCATTACAAAATTTTCAATGCTGAGGGATATGGACCTCGGCGATCAGAACAGCTCAAGAAGATTTGGGAACGCATGAAAATAAATTAAGTAAAATATATATATATATATATATATATATATATATATATATATATATATATATATATATATATATATATATATATATATATATATATATATATATATATTGTAGCTTAGTAGGTTAGATTAAAGAGGGTGCAGATGACTATAATCTCTGACACAACTAACTTAATTCAGTTAAATTTTCAAGATAGAAACTCACTTATAAAACTGCTAAAAAGTTGCGTTAAGTAACTTAAATGGACTTACTTTATTAATATACTGTATGCAACAAAGTTTTGAGATGATTTTCTCCCAGTGAAATTTGCCTCTATCCATTGGAATGTTTCTAGGCAAGAACGTCACTAGTTTATATTTTCCTGGCAGAAACTCACTTATAAAACTGCTAAAAAGTTTAATAATTACCGTAAATGTACTTACAGATTAATACTAGCGTTAGTAAGATGGGATGACTCCAGCAGCTTGCCTTTGGCAATAACAAATTGACAGGCAGCACAGCTTTTACGAAAGTCGTAATATGACAGGGAACACAGCTTTTGCACTGTCATAATATGGGCCGTAAAACCAATAATGTAAAAAAAAAAACATTTGTAAAATTACCAATACGTGTTTCTTTGTACGTTAATCGTATTGACAATAAATATTTAATAAAACTAACAAAATAATTATGAAGAGGGTGACGAAAAGCAGCTCATAGCCACCTCTTCAAAGTTTGGTGCAATTAGTTCGTTTTCATGCCACCACACTCTTTCGTGCGCTGCACTAAAAGGTTCTTCGCATTTAAACATACGGCTTTCGATATGAAGATATTCTTCAAGGGAAGATGTTGTTTAATAATATGGCCGTAAGGCCCTTTAATACTATGCCGTTTCTCGCCGCATCTAGATGCGGTGCGGTGCCGGACATAGCAGTCGACTGATAGTTCTTATAGTTCTTATGTACAGTTGCCAGCAAAAGTTCTCTCACAGCCCTGTATAGCAAGTTTTTGGTTTGGACTTTTCCTGGCAACTGTAACTCTTCACACTATGTGGTTGCGGCGAATTCGCCGGTCTGACGCCGGATTGCATGTGCGGCATCCCACTGGACTTGTCCGGTACGGTGTCCACTGCTCACTGCAAACTGTAGACAATAATTGTCCAAAGTTGGGTCGCTGTACGCGGCAGCCGGACGAATGTGCCGCAGAAAACAGTGGTCTCTCCGGTGCGACGAAGAACCGCATAGTGTGAAAGAGGCCAAGAGTTACTCGACAGTCCGAATTTTCTTGTGACGGAACAGTATTCGAATTACGGATACTCTCACATTAGTCAATCTTTCCACCACAAAATGACTGTCAAAGAACATAGTGGTCTATTTCCCCGGTGATTCAGACCAGTTAAATTACAAGCAACACTTACCTTACAACACAGGTTGAAAAAACAGTGGTCACTTGCTTAAACTACCAAGTGTATGGAAACGTGCACTTACATAGCTACTCAACCGGTTACAGAATACGAGATGTTTTACATGGTTTAGTTCTCCGCTAACTATAGGGAGAAGGGAGGAGAAAGAGGAGGAGGAGGAAGATAAGGAGGTGGAAGAAAAGGGAGCAAGGAGGTGGAAGAAGAAAGAAAGAAGAAGAAATAGAGGAACAGCAGCACAAAACACCGTCGGTAAGAGAGTGATGCTGGATGTTGCTTCCTCTTCTCTTCCTCCCCTCCTCCTCTTCCTTCTTTGCCTCCTCCTCCTACCGTTTACCTCAGGTGGGTAGAGGTGAGGGGGGAAAGAGAGACAGAAATAGATAATATGAATAACTCGTCCTCTGGTTCTCAATACGAAACTTCAAAAACAAAACAAAAAATAAAAAACAACGCGTGTTCAAGGTCTCACCGCTGATTGGTCAACCTTTACCAAGTTTGCTCTGATTGGTTCACTATTCAATACATTTGTCTCATCGTGCATAATTGGCTTATTAGTCATGTTATTGCTTAATGAGTTTACGTGGGTAGTCATTCTGTGATCTGAAGAGGAGTAGGCGTCTGGAGAAGAAGGCATGTGTCCCCAGGAAGTACGAACGCCACACCCTCGTACGCAACACCTCGACACAGGACGCACAAGTCACCCGATGTCTACTTGTTGCGTAAGCCACCCCTCACTCGCCTTCCCGACGCCAGGTAAGGAGCCCTACTTCACAGGCCCCGCTGGTGAGGTGAGTTTCATGAGCGTGGTAATACACAATCCTCACATTCCACACTGTGTTATCCACATTCCTTCCGTTTACGTAATCTTCGTCCTTACCGTCCATTCATCATGAGTACACACACACAAACTCCTTTCATTCACCCTGATGACTAAATACAAAGTAATATGTATGCATGAACACCAACAACCTCGCCCCTCACAACAAAACTGACCATGCACAATTCTCAAGACTATTTACACAGGCTAGCCCCCCACCCCCACCAGTAAGACCCTGCCACTAAGACCCTCTCACCAATACGTTCGTTAACATGAGGTACCTCGAGATCCCGCCCCCCAAGGCTTATTTCACCTGAAGACTGAACCAACCCAAAGCTACCTGATAGGGTGTTATGTTATGTCATGTCATGTTGCCCCCGTCTCCCTGCAGCCGCCTCTTCCTGTCGGGGAACGGAAAACAAAACCGACAAACGAAAACAAAGGGAAATATTAAACGGAAAAAAAATACATAATGAGACAACAATACGTAAGTAAAAAGATGTTACAGTATAAAGTTACAAAAGAAAGAAAGAAAAAAAAATATATATATATATATAAAAATTCGGTGAAAACAAAAGTAAAGGAACATGAAAAAATGAAAACCACAACATAAGGA